CCCGATTACTGTTAATAACCTTTAGTACTATCGGATTTAAACACTGACACAATTATATCTCTGTGTGCGCTGATTTGATTTTCTACGTTGCCACTAATTGAACCGACGTTCAATATATATATATATATACATGAAAGACTATGATGAATTAATCAGTGTTCAATTACACTGTGTTGCCTGCAAACTTTGTTTACAAGGGGGGAGGGGGGAATAGAAAAAAAACCGAAGAAAAAAAGGCGAGAACACGTATGATGACTCAAATAGTTATAATTTTTTTCTCTTTTCCAAGGAAATAGTGTATTGAATTTATATATATAAATATATATGCTCACCGTGTGATGATAAGCATATACATGTATATGCGCATGTATATGTATATGTTTGTATATGTATATATCTACAAATTAAAACAAAAATGAGAATATGGGGATGTCGAAAACAAAAAAAGTAAAATAATAATAATAATTCCATTGTCACTGAGTTTTATTGTGTTGAGTTGTGTTGCGTTGTTGTTTTTTTTCGTAAAAAAAAACAAACAAACAGTAAAAGTAATAATAATAATAGTAATAATAATTAATTATAACAATAATAGTAATAATAATAGTATATAAATAAATAATTTCATTTATTAAAAAAAACAAAGCCTGAAGAGATCTAGACAAAGATTAGGATGTAATGTGTATTATTTTGTGTTTTGTAAAAATAGGAAGAAGAGAATGTCCAGTGATTTTTTTTTGACTTGATTACTGTTGCCATAGATTAGATTAGATTAGATAGTAATTAAGTAATTAAGTAAGTAAGTAATGCGTGAATAACAGAGAGAAAAAATTAGAAAGAGAAATAAAATAGGAAGAAAGCAAGAAAACAAACAAACGAACAAACGAAAAGAGACTGACTGAGTGGTTGTCGAGAAGATGATTTCTTCTTGAGTGAAAAGTGCATAATAGAGAGGTCTACAGAATTTAAAAAAATACCCAACAACAATTACAACGACGGGCGGAGCGAGTGGAAACAAACAAGCGAACTGAGAGAATACATTTTTACATAATACAATACCCTCAGACAATACACATACGCACACAAGCAGCATGAACAAATTAAGAACAGACAGGGCAACAGAAGATAATTGCTCTTACCAAAAAAGACAAAACAAAGTCATTCGAAACAAGTGTGTACATGTTTGTTCAATGTCAATCGATTTATCCCTGCTAGATAGATAGATAGATAGACATAATAACGAATAATTTAATTAGAAATATAAATATAGATTTATAGTTATATATATATAAAATGGTAACAATCACAAATTAGCCTGATGATAATGATGATAAGAGAGATAGATAGAATTTACAAGTAAATTATCAAGTGAACGCTGTTCCACACAGCACCATAGATAAAAACAAACAACATGCATCGATTCGGGTATCGTCTGTGTGTGTACATTTTCGCGCATCTTCACACACACATACACAGAGAGAGAGAGAGAAGAGTGACAACAGTAGAAAGAGAAGTTGAACAAAAGGACAATAAAGAGAGAGAGAGGGAGATGGCGCTCTACTGCAGCAACACAATTGAAATATTTGTCAAAAATAAAAAAAACACACTTGTTAAGGCGCATTTTCTAAAATGTAAATATGTATATTTATTTATTTATTCTTGTCGACAGTTGTTCCGACTATTACAACTACCACTACGACTACTATACTAATGCTACTACTACTACTTCTCAAGAAATGCTCATTGTATAGGCGAAAAAAAATATGGCAACAATGGAGAGTGGATGGGTGAGTGAGGGTGAGCTAGCTGGCTGGCAATGAAAAATGGCGCAGACAAATACAGTGCGAAAGAAATATAGGAAGAAGGAGAATTCAGTAATAATAATAATAATTAATAACAAAAAATAGGGATAATCGATTTGAGTTCGTGTTATTATTATTATTCATGTACATGTATGCATGTGTGTGTGTGTCTATGTATGTATGTATGTGCGAAGATATTTTTATTTAGAAAAAAAAAGAAAAGTGGTAAACAGTCTAATTTTTTTTACCCTGACAGAAGTTTTCTGTAGAAAAATCAATTACAAACACATAGATAGATAAGTAAATAAATAAAAGGGCAGTGAACTGATATTCAATCTGTTGTCATTAAAAAATATCAAAGATTTTTTTAAAATGGCGCAAACACAGACATACACAGAGAGAGAGAGAGAGAGACACAAACAATCAGTTTCAAGTTACAATTTTAAAATCGAAATCATCATCATAATCATAATAAGAGAGTGGTGCTCTCATTAGTCAGTAATAAAAATGACCAATCACATGATGATCGATTGTGTGTGTATTACAAATGGGAAAAAAAGAAAAGACAACAAGTTATTATATAAGCCGATAGTGATCAGAACGACAATGATCAAGTGCTACAATAGTAATCATACTAAGTGGATGATGTGGCCCATACAAGAGAAATAACACAACACAATCATTCAAACATTTAGGCAGAGGGCGAGTGCTCGCGCGCGCGAGAGAGAGACAGACAGACAGAGCGATGCAGAGAAATGAGAGAAATTCCAGAAGAAAAATCCGCAATAAGAAAATAAAAACTCGACGAATATATCTGTGTTTTATGTGTGTAACAAAGTAGAATTTTGGCATTTTAATCTCTTTCTCTCACACACACAAAAAAATAACTCAATCGATGCGAGCAAGGGAATAAATAGTTCAATCAAAAGAAAAAATATATGTAGAGAGAGAGAGAGAGAATATTTTCCACGTCAAAATCAATAAACAGCGCACAGTCATCACAAAGCAACTACACCTCATTTTATTGTCACTTGTAGAATTAAAAGACAAGAGAAAGAAAAATAACAATTCAGTCAGATGATTTAAGATGAATAAATGAGTGGAGGTTTTTACAGTGGTTTAGCTTTTTTTTTTAAAAAAAAGTAAAATAAAAATAAGCAAACTCAAGAATAGTTAGTAGTGATGATAAACAGAAGAGAAACACTGCTACTACCACCACACTACCATGCATACACATACACTGACACTGAAACGCGCGCGCGCACACACACACACACACAGTGTGACATAATGCCATGTAGTCAACAGGAATTAAAAGGAAAATTCAAGGAGAGAGAGAGAGAGAGAAATCTTAAAAATAAACAACTAAATAGGTCACATTCTAATTCTGTTTATGATCGGACAGACAGACGGACAGGTTAAACAAGCCATAGAGGATAAACAGATGCCGGGAGCTGACGACGAATGAGAGAGAGAGAGAGAGAGTAAAATACACTCTGTGTATGTTCTGCCACTTTAAACGATAAAGGAGATAGAGAGCAAGAAAGCGAGCGGTGTTGGCCAGTTGGGAAAGAGAGAGAATATGAGAAAAAAAATTGATCTGAAAACGCTAGTCTCGCCAGTTTTTGCGCGAAAATCAATCAACAAAGAGAAAGAAGTGTAAACAACGGATCAGAAGAGACAGACAGATGCACAGACACAAAAAAGAGACAGAAACAAAGGACAAAATGAAGAGACAAAAAAAAACAGGAATAAAGACAAAGCATTGATAAACAGCAACTTTGTTCTAACATCTTCCAACAGCAAAAACAAAGCGGTCGAACTAGTCAGAGGAAGAGAGAGAGAGCGAGGGAACAGTAGAAATTACATCCAAAATAAAGACAATGCGAACACACAAGGTGTGCAAACAGTTAGGCTAGTTAGTGCCTCGCCTCCCTTCACCGAAACTAAGAGGTTCGGGGCGCACTAACCCTATTAAAAAAATACAAAGCACGAGAAGACAACTAGGACCTGGGTTAAATCTAGTATTTACTAATTCACGCAATTACAACACTGAATGAGAATGAATCAGTCAACCACCAACTGATAGGATAGATACTACTACTACTACTAATAGGCCAAGTAGTAGGTAGTTGCAAAAATAAATGAACAAAATATTACTATCACCTGGACAAAAAAGAAGCGAACACATTTTTTGCATTGCGTCATTGTGAAACGTACGCACGCACGCAAGTACGAACACATAATAAAAAAAAGGAAAAACTATCTATCAAAAAAAACAAAAAAAAAGGCTGAAGATTGGAAGTAGAAAAAAAGTTTTATGACAAAATTTTACTGAGTAATAACATCATCATAATAATAATCATAAAATATATCCTGAATAGTTTTATGTAAATAAATGTGTATGCGTGTATGTGTGACAGAGAGAGAGAGAGCGGGAGAGTGTACGTATACACACACAATCTGTGTAATAGTCCAAAAATAAGTCCATGCATGCGGTAAGGCAACATGATTTCATTGATCAAAGGAGAAGCAATCGACAGAGGAGGATCCATAGCATACCTGATACATACACAAGCACACGCGCACACACACATACACATTTGATAGTTCCATGTAGTAGTAGAAGTGGTAGTAGTAGTAGTAACAGTAGTAGCAATCCACACATTGTCAAGGTACACCTGAAATACAGTTGATATTACGCAACAACAGCAACACCAACAACACGAAGAAGGAGGAGAGAAAGAATAGCCAAATAACTAGAGCTCTAGCTAGCTAGCTTAGCTGACAGAAGAATTCACAGAGAAGAAGAAAAAGATAAGAATGACAATGACACAACAATTCAATGAATCACGTTGATGAATACAAAGATGCAATGTTGTGGTTGTTGATGATGACGATGATGATGATGAAGATCACTGGAAAAAATAATAATAATTATTATTATTATACACAAATATAATGCACAGGAATAGAAGAGAAAAAAAGACACTGACCAGTTAGTTCTCTCTCATTCTCGCGTAATTACAGCTCTGATATAGTAGTAGGATTGATAGATCGATAGACAGATAGATGGATAGTAGTAGAAGTATCAATAATAAATAAAAGGGCCAAAACAAGGGGAATATACAAAGTGTTAAAAAAATAGTAATAATAATAATAATCATAATAATAATTCATGATAATAATAATAATAATATGGCAATTTATGTATAAAGTATTGATAGATTTCTAAAATTGTAGACAAAAATTAGACATTCTCTTCAATGATTCATTCATTTGATTAAACGAAGATGATGACGATGACGTAATAATCCGTGTTGCTGTTGTTGTCGTTGTCGTCATCAGTGGCGCTCACTTCTTCTTGATTTATAATATGCTCAACGAAAATAGCAGGAAAAATAGCAAACTATCTTGTCACAATAACAATCACTGCAGATTCAGGCGGAGTAGCACTAGTAGTATGATGAATAGCGGAGGTGGAACAGGAGGAGGAGGAGGATTGGCTTGTAACATTCAATAAAGAAGGAGATGACAATCTGGAAGATGGACATGTGGATGTTTTAAAACTACTACCATAATTCAATAAAGTCGACTGACTGTGTTGCGGTTGTTGTTGTTGTTTGATCATAATGCTTGATGGTGTAGTCTCAGGAAAAAACGATAATTCCTCTTTTGTCGAATTATAATGATGATAATTTGACTGTGATTGGTGTTGTAGTTGTAGTTGCTGCTGTTGCTGTTGATGCTTAGTTGCAATCATAATTTCAACTGGCAAATAAAAAAATTAAATGACATCATCATGAAAGAAATATATGTTACACAGATTTATGCAAGAATATAAGAAAAATGACATTCTCACTAAATGATCATATATTTATATCAGTCAGTCAGCCGATCAGTTGAAACTCAGTATGTCGTAGATACGTGCACCGATCGATGATAGGATTAGTGAAGTTACGAACCAGTGAAAGTAAAATAATAAGTCATGTGAAATTTAGATTAAGACATGAAGGAAGACAAACTAGCATAGCTCAGTCCTACTGTCAGTGAATTCATCGACTACTAGTTGTGTTTTCGAGCGTCAAAATACTCATAACAAAAGTTTATAATGACTAAGAAATGTGTTTCCCTCACACAACCAGCATCTGCAGCGATACTACCTTCTCACTAGGAATGAAGGCGTTAGGAATGATCGACCCTAAAAATTTCACACCTAACCCTACCTGACGGATTTCCGTCTCCGGCAGTAAGAGCGGAGCTAACCCTCCAAAAAAACCTTTCATAAAAAGGCCGTGCGTGACCGGACTCAAGCAGTTGTCCCTTGGGCTCTGCGGTCAGGCTCCCAGGTCTCTAAGACCAACTCTAATCCACCTTCCCTTTCAGGTTCCTTAAGAAACATCCTTCCATAGTGTGGGTAGCCGGGAAGTGACAACCGCCCTCATACCAGTAAATGCACACGAGACCAAATTGGTTGAAATCAAATCCTACCTACACCCACACATACCCCTCTTATCTCCACGACTAACTCTTCTCACATTAATTTATCACACTGCACAGCTAATGCAAACAATGCGAGTTCGCGAAACGTCATTTCTGGTCTCTTGAAACCCCGCTTTAGACTACATGTTGGAGCTTTTGATGTACGGACATTGTGTCAAATAGGGTAACAGGCTTCATTGGCTAGGAATTTAGAATCTTGCTCATTCGATGTGTGCTGTGTTTCGGAAAAGCGCATACAGGATCCTAGTAAAATCATTAATCTGATTTCCCCTTGTCAAAACAAAGAAGCAGCTCGATTTACCCTTTCTGTATCTGGAAGCCCTGATGCTGCTTCTAGGGGTCTTGCTGGTGTAGGCATAGCATTGAGTCGTAGGGCAGAACAATCTCTCCTTGACTGGATTCCTGTCGATAGTCGCTTGTGCGCTATCCGACTAAACGGGACAGTAAGGACTCGGAAAGATAGGAACACTCGCCGTTGCCTCTTCTTCGTATCTGCATATGCCCCCACTGAATACAGTTCAGACGAGGTTAAAGATGAGTTTTACAGAAAGCTTTCGGACCTCCTCCAAAGTAAGGTGCTCTGCCGTAGTAATAATGGCTGGTGACTTTAATGCTTAGGTAGGTAGATTGAGTGAAAATGAAATACACCTAGGTGGATGTTATGGTATCGCGGCTCAGAGAACAGACAATGGCGACCGTCTGTTGCAAGTATGCTCAGACAACCGCCTATTCTTAGCAAACACTACCTTTAGACATAAGGAAAAGCATCTGTTGACCTGGCGACCTCCTAAGTCGTCTCAACGTTGGACCCAACTGAATCACATCGCCATCAGCCACCGATGGAGGGGTTCGATAGAAGACTGTCGCTCGTTCTGGGGCACAATTCTAGTGCGAGCTCGTATTTGTTATAGGCTTACTGGACGTAAGAAAGATACCGAGAGGAAACCTCTTAGGGTTCTACTTAATGATAATGAGGCTAAGAATATATTCCAGGAACTAGAAAGAGAGTTAGGCAACCGTGTAAGTGATTCCCATCCGGAGGCAGCTTGGAATGATATCACAACGGCTATGGAAACAGCAGTGATATCTTCTAGTAAGGTAAACCATAAGCCTAGGATGAAGCCGCGGATAGAGGCTCGAAAATTCATCCCATCTGACTCTGAACATGATGATAAGCGAAGTCAGCTTAGGCGCAGGCTGATATAAAAGCCTACGTACCGACTGTGAACAGTGGTGGGTGGCGAAAGCAAAAGCGATGGAAAAGGCAGCGGCGATAGGCAACGACAGACAGTTGTACCGAATTATCAAGCGAACTGGTATTAGGAACCCAAATGTGATTGAGACTATTTCGGAAAATGATGGGACTATTATTTATTCTCAATCCAGGAGACTGGATCGATGGGCAGAACACTTTAGGGATCAGTTCAACTGGCCTCGAGCCGCTCTCCGGTTACCCACGATCTCCAGTCATCCTGAATGGCAAATCGACCTAAGTCCCCCTAGTCTTAATGAAGTTGAAAAAGAGTTAGGAAATTTGAAGCGAGGGCGAGCTGCGGGTCCTGATAGACTGACCCCTGAGATATTTAAGGATGGTGGTCCAGACTGAGATCTTAGGTAGAATCTGGGAACTGGACGTAATCCCATCCGACCGGTCTCAATCACTCATTGTCCCAATCTATAAGAAAGGACAAAAGTCTTCTTGTGACAATCACAGAGGAATCAGTCTAACTAATATAGTTTCTAAAATATTGGCCTCAATAATACTTCAGCGCTTAACGAAGACTCGTGAAAAGCAGACTAGAGAAAACCACGCTGGTTTTCGACCTAGACGTGGTTGTATAGACCACATAGTGAGCCGGAATCTAACGGTTTTGTTAAATGTCTAACTTCGTGGATGCGCACTGCCACTGATAAGTCCCATACCAGGACGAAACAGCCGCCCACTGCTTCCACGTTTCTAATGGTGGTCTAACTTTGATCGATTCATGATTTTAAATGTGTAACTTAACAACCTTCACAACCCCATAATGTAAGTAGAACAGTAAAACAATGAAAACATGAAACAACGATCAGTTTCATATAAAGTTGAGTAAATTTGATTGCAGTCATTAAAAACCGATTCGAACCGACCGTGAATTGACAACTTCCAAATACATACATGTAGAACTTGCGTACGTACATATTGAAAAGTCCTCAATACAAGTCGATTCAAACACACACACACACACACACACACAAAGAGAGAGATAATCGTACACCACTTACGATCGAACACATCATTGATTAAATCATCTGGCAATAAATTCTCTTCTTGTTGCTGTTGCTGGTGTTGTTGTTGTTGATAATACTGATGTTTATATTTCGACTGGAATATAGATTCCAAATGTGGATCAATCAGTGTAGTAGTAGTAGCAGTGGGAGTAGTGGGAGTAGTAACAGATATATCATCCTGAGTTGTATGACTATTATTAAATTGACAAGATGCTATCGACGAACTTGTTGTAGTGGATAATGTCCGACGATGACCAGTTGGAAATGTGGAACACTCATCATCAACATCACCATCATCAATTAATGATCCATTTGTTGCAGTGATTTCATAATAATGATGAATTAAATTGTCTAATGATGTTGAACAAGCAGAGGAATAAGTCAATTCCATCGATGATTGACATACAGATCCCTGTGGTGGTGGTGGTGGTGCTGGTGGTGGATATGAAGGAGGTGGCGGTGATTTAAGGTAATGACCACCACCACTGCCACCGCCACCGCCAGCACCACCACTCAGTGGTTGAGAGGTTGTACTGGAACTTGGTGAAGTATTTGCTGATACACTACTGATTGGTGATAAACTATTACACAATTGATGTGGTGGAGGTGGTGGTGTTAAAGGATATACAATATTTGAATAATAATAATTATTATTATTGTCATTATTACAATAGAATGATGATGATGATGCTGATGATGATGTATCATTCTGTGTGAAATAATTAAATGCATTCATTTTGCAATCATTAGTTCTTTGATTAGTGGAAAAAACCTGAGTAACAACAGTAGGAGGAGGAGGAGGAGGATGATAATGATTGGTCAGTAAGTGAATGGATTGAGGATAAACACAATTATTATTATTATTGTTTAAATTAGAATTGATTTCCTGATGTTGTTGTAATGGTACAACATTATAAATTGGTTGAGGTATAGACCAATCAGAACAATTCCCAGTTGAGGATAAATTCGAATAGACATTTTGATTGTGTGTTAATATCAAATTACTATTACTACTACTACTAGTACTCGATAATGGTAGCCGAGAAACACAGGAAGAGGATATGGAGCAGCACATGGTACTACTACTGGGTGAAGAACCAACTTGATAAGTACTGATTGGAGGAGGAGGGTCATTGGAGAATTGATTAGAAGATACCTGAGAGTATTGAAAATTTCTATGATTATTATCACAAGAAGTTGTAGTAATGGTAGTAGTAGCAGTAGTAGTAGTAGTAGTGGCACATGCAGGAACAACAGAATTCTTCTGACAAATACCCTGACGATCAACTAATGCTTGACGAAGTTCTGCTTTCACAAGACAACTGAAGAAAAAAAAAACAAAAAAACAATTGAATAGTAAAAATTATTAATTGATTAATGTGTAACAACAGTACAAAATAAGTTTACAACATCAAAAATGCCTGGTCGCATAGTATTTATTGATGACCACCACCTACTACATATTATGGATGGATTAATTAGAGTAACTGTGAATTAGGCTGGCAAACGAAACTTGATTCAGCTAGGATAGTGCAGCATATTTCAGATTTATACTTTGTCCTCTCTTGCACATAATGTGTAATGCTAGCACAATTACAAGTGTGAAAACTGCCTCACTTCAATTCTAAGTAACAATATAAGTATAGGCTACTACAAAAGTGAAAATCATCAATGAACGCTATTCTCAGTTCTGTTAGTTGAGAATTTCGGCCGCTTCACTTATCTCGGGAGTCTCATCAGTGCTGATGGCCTGGTTTGTGACGAAATCTCAGCACCGTTACACAGGGCTCCCATTGGTGTAGGCGAGGTTTCCGTCTGTTTATCAAATGACGAGTCTACAGCGCAGTGGTTCGCTCCGTTCTACACTATGGCTGTGAGACATGGCAAGTAAGGGTAGAAAATAATCGTAGGTTACTGGTTTTTGATAGTCAATGTCTTCAAAGTATTATTGTCCGTAAATCCAGTAACTACTGAGTAGGCAATGCTATAGTTAGAATTAAGGTACTAGGTAAGGATGGCAGATCAACAGATGAAGTATTGAATCTTCATCAATGAAGGAGTTTGGGACATATGTGACGTATGCCTAACCATAGACTGCCCGACGAGCCATCTTTTGCGATGTAGGAGTAGGCTAGAATAAAGCTACGGGCGGCCAAATCAGAACAGCACCAATGCAGGAAGTCACTGACAACTGGACTGAGCCATGTTAGTGGGTGATTAAAGAATTTTGCTAACGTAACTCAAAATCATTTGCAATAGCGCAGGCGCATTCATTTTTTGTGTTCTCTCAAGTCCTAACCTTCGGAGTTCCTCATCAGCACTCTATCTCTATTAAGTTTCTTTCACTGGATTATACTTCTTCAATAATAATCACATCGAACCCTAATCTCTCCGATTACTACAAATACTTCTTTCTCTACTACATCATCTACCACTATGTGATTTGAATTGACAATTACATCTCTCTGCACTAATTAATGTGGTAATGAGGCAATTTGAACTGATGTATGTACGTACGATGCTTCATCAGTTGAGGTGGTTGGGACATGTGTTACGTATGCCTAATCACCGACTGCCTCGACGAGCTATGTTTTATGGTGTAGGAGTAGGTTGGAAGAAAGTTAGGGGCGGCCAGACCAAAACATGGCAAAATCCATGAAGTCACTGACAAGTGGACTGAGTCATGTTGGTAGATGTAGAATACTTGGTTGGGGTCTGCGAGATGAAAGTCACCAATGGTTAGCGACCTTGAACGACATGGCTCGGAATCGTTTGCAATGGCGTAAGTGCATCCATTCTTTGTGTTCTCTCAAATCCTAATATTCTGGAATCGTCATCACCTCTACCTTTGCCTTTCTAACCTTATCTCACTGAATTATACTTCTTGAATAATATCTTCAAACCCTAGTCTTCTTCATTACTACCATTAATACCTCTTCTATCTCTATCACTATGGGGTTTGTCTTTGTGTTAATGTGGTATGTCAACATGAACCTATGTACATACGTACGTAGTTCTACGTTGCAACTAACTGACTGACTGATGTACGTACGAAGTTCTATGTTGTTGTTGTTGTTGACGTATTGTTATAGTGTACTTTTCCGTTTATACAAAAAAAGAAATATACCACTTACTGATTTGTTTATTTAGCCCTTTTTATTAGTGTTATTAGTATGTAAAACCAAAAACAAAAGTGAATGGATTTTGATTGATCTATATCTTTTTCGAATTTCATATATATATTTATAATGTATTTTGTACAGAAAAAATAAGTCAGTGTTTTTTCTGTTGTTGTTGTTGTTGTTGGGAAGGATAACTACCTGATTCTTTTCAAAACAACATCTTAAATGAAATAGAAATAATAAAGAAATCTATATAAGATCACAACAGCATAGATCAGTAGTCAGTCAGTTACATCGTAGAACAATGTGTACGTACATACATAACACTGATCAAGTCAGTCAGTTGCAACGTAGAACTTCGTACGTATGTACATCAGTTCATGTTTCCATAACACATTAGCACAGAGACGCAAATGTCAAATCAAATCCCATTGTGATAAAGATAGTAGAGGTATTAATAGTAATGAAGAAGACTAGGGTTTGAAGATATTAATCAAGAAGTATAATTCAGTGAGATAAGGTTAGAAAGACAAAGGTTGAGAGGTGTTGACGAATCCAGAAGATTAGGATTTGAGAGAGCACAACGAATGGATGTACTTGCGCCATTGCAAACGATTTCGAGCCATGTCGTTCAAGGTCTCTAACCAAAGGTGACCATCGTACCGACCGAAGCTGCTACCTTGACGTGGTGGTCGGGCTTGCCTATCGTCATGACCCAACAGAGCTATACTGGCTGGAACTTATAATCCTGAAGGTTCTACCATGCCAGGCAGGTCGATTTCAGAACGATCAGACTAAAGCAGCTACTCAAGGTCTGAGGGCGGAGTCGTACTGCTGACTGACGGTTGAAGGGTGTGATAGCAGTAAGGTGTTTCTCTCACACAACCAGCATCTGCAGCAATGCAGAGTTCTCACAAGGAAGGAAGGGTTAGAAAAGGTCGACCCTAAAAATGTCACACCTCAGCCTAACTCACGGATTTCCGTCTCCGGCAGTAAAGGTTGCCCACCAAAGGCTTTTAAGAGTGGAGCTAATACTCAAATAACCTTCCATAAAAAGGCTGTGCGTGACCGGCCTCAAGCAGTTGTCCCTTGGGCTCTGCGGTCACGCTACCAGGTCTCTAAGACCAACTCTAATCCACCTTCCCTTTCAGGTTCCTTAAGAAACACCCTTCCATAGTGTGGGCAGCTGGGAAGTGACAACCGCCCTCATACCCGTAACAGCACACGAGACCAAATTGGTCGAAATCAAATCCTACCTACACTGATCGAGTTGTCAATTCAAGCTGGTACTAGAAGTGGTAATCAAAAAAGATGACGAGAAGTATATCACAGTGAAATAAATTTAAAACAGACATGAGAAATTTAGAATTAAGAGAATTTGAGAGAAAACAAGGATTGTATGCACCTGTGCCATCGTAAACGATTTTAAGCCATTTCCCTTGAAGTCTCTAACCATCGGTTAGTATTATCTCGAGAACCTCAATCAGGTAGTCTACCTTTACTAACATGGCTCAGTCCAGTTGACAGTCAGTGACTTGATGGATTTGTGCCAAGTTTCAGTGTGGCCGACTCTAGCTTTTTTTCCAAAACAGGGTAGATATTATTGTTTAATCTGACAATGAAAATAGCGAAAATATTTGTACGTAATATCATGAAAATACATGATAATAACTCCATGTGGAACCCTTCTAGGGTTATTCAAGGTCCTAAATCTGCCAAAAGGAGGAGGGTTGGGCATCAGCTTACGTAGGAAACCAACTTATTAATAGAATGCTAACCAGAACAAATAATTTAAATTATTTAAACGCTGCCCTCGCAGTTGGAAGGTCTTCATTCAGATCAGAAGTTATGACGTCTTATGATGAAAGACGAGTTTCTTTGGATGTTACAAGGCCTATGTCTCTTGTGGCAACTAGAGCAACCATTAATTTAGGTACACGGAGTGTTCGTACATTGTGGAAGACCCGGAGAACCATTCAAGTTGCCGAGGGAATGAAAACTGGTGGTGCTTGGAATAAGTCAGGCACATTGGAGGCAGGTTGAACAAAAAAGATTTGCTTCAAGAGAGATACTGTTATACTCCGGCTATGAAGAAGAAAATGCCTCAAACACACACACACACACACAAGGAGTTGTACTGATGCTCTCTCAAGAAGCACAAAAAGCACTTATAGGATAGGAACCTCGTAGACGCAGGATCATCAAAACATCATTCAAGACAAAAAGAGAGATCACAACGAATGTCGTTCAGAGCTATGCATCTACCAACGGTAACAATGAGGACGATAAAGATCAAACCTATGAAAGGCTACAGTCAATCGTCGAAAAACGGCCAACAAACGATTTGATCATACTGACGAAAGACCTAAATGCCAAGGTTGAAATGGACAACACCAGATATCATGGGAGAAATGAACAAAAACAGCGAGATTTGGAAATCTATGTGCATTCAACAAAATGGTCATAAATGACACCATACCCCCCCCCCCGACAAATGCACGCACACATATTGCTGGAAGTATCAAACTGTGTCACAAGGTATGCCACAACTTGAAATCCCCAAATCGCCAAAGAAAGATGAAAGACAAAAGAATACATTACATTAGCAATTAGAGACAGCCATTAAAAAAATGAATAACACTTGGCAATAAGTGGAAAGGAGAGAGAGGCCAGGAAAGAGTAGGTTTGGGATTGCTAAGTTAATAGCCTATGTATCACAATAGAATATATGGCATTTCCAACAATACACTTTTTACGTAAATCATTATCGACTGACACAAACGAGATTAATTCTATCTTACGTCGTTGTAAAACTACGGAAAAAAAATCATAATATTGACTACTGCTGTTAGTGGGACATAGATGAATTAAAGCATGACTACGTTGCTGCGCGCTGATTGGCTAATTCCCTATCCAATCAGCGCCTGATCGAATCTTGGAGAACAGGGTAGAAGATTCTTGTATTGTTAGCTGCGTGCTGATTGGTTAAATCTAATCCAGTCGATCACGTGAATTTCTATCCAGAAGCTTTCTCATGTAAATGCTATAAATAGACTAGCGGTGTATCTATCTTTGCCTTCACCATCACCTTCGGCTTCTTATTCCATAACCTTGCTATCTTGGAATATAATCTTTCCCTGTTCAACCGTGTTTTGACTCTTTGGAACTTGTCCAGAATACTAAGCAATAGGATTTAGCCGTAGGCTATATAAGCAAACCGTTACAACAACTGCTCAACAGCAACCAATCAAGATCGAAGTTAACACAACAGTACAAGCTATGGGTCAAACGTGAAGAAATTCGAATGCGCTTCACTTCTCCTATCTGAAGTTTGTGCTGATGCTGATGTTGTCGTTGTTCAGAAGAACAACGATGAAATTTCCACAAACCAGAACATCCATCTCAGAGAGAACGAATGAAAACAAACACCATCTATAAAAAATTTCTACCTTGTTTTATTAAAATTTTGATAACAAAACTTAACTGCACACACACACACACACACACACAACAAAGCAAGAACTCAAGGTGACGACGCAACTCTTCTTACCTTGTGTCAGTGTAAAGTTAAATAATACAAACTATTATGACCGAAATATTTCATTGAAAGCATGAATTGACCATTTTCATGCTTATCAGCAGCTAACAGTTGATTAATGATTTCAAATGTGTAAAAACGCAAACCTCCAAAACTGTGCCCCAATATATCGTAACAGTGCTCACTAGTGACTAGCTTCGTGAGGAAATTCTCGGAGTTCTAGTTGAGAAGACGTGACCAGTGGAGTTCAACCCTGTCGGGTGTAGGCAGTAACTACCAAAGACAAATGGGTGAGGTCGCGCAAAATCCCTAGATCAATCAGAGTTAGACATTAACACCGTTGGATGCCGGCCCAGTGGTCCGATGGTAAGGCGTTCGCCTACAATGCCAAAGGTCCCGGGTTCGAATCATGCGAGGGGCAGGAGTCGTGGATGCGCACTGCTGATAAGTCCTATACCAGGTCGAAACGGCCGTCCAGTGCTTCCAGGTTTCTAATGGTGGTCTAACAATGATGATTGATTAATGATTTCAAATGTGTAAATAATTATACACTAAAGGTTATATATATAATCACAAATTCATTAATCTATCTATACATATAAAGCACAACAACATACCTGTTATCATTAGGATTATTATTATGATTATTATTGTTACTATTGTGATTACCATTATTCACAAATGAAAAATGTTTTTGATTATGTAATAACAATAGAGATTCTTCTTTGGACAGATTACTACTACTACCACTACCACAACCACCTTGACCACTCATTGTTGATGTTTGGTGATGATGCTGATGCTGATGATGCTGCTGCTGATGAGTATAATAGTCTGATGAATTGTTGGCCAATGAATGAATCATACCTGATTGTTGTAGTAAACTAGTTTGAGCATTATGTTCTACGGACGATGATGATGACGATGATAGTATTGGCGTACATGGAGTAGTAGTAGTAGCAGTTGTTACAGCTGATGTTTTAGTTGTTGTTGTCGTTGTTGTCGTTGCTAATTGATGTTTGATCGATGGTTTCTGCATTCGTATTGTTGCATTATGATGAGGATGATGTAATGTGGAATAGCCATGAGAAAGTTGATGTGTTGTACTACTACTACTAGTATTATTACTACTCAACTGATGATTATCCATTGTAGGAGTTGAATAAGAAAGCTTGATAAAATGTAAAAAGAAAAATTAATTATTTAACAAAGAGATTATAATTAGTTTTAAAAGTACATAAGTCAGTCAGTCAGTCACAATGTGGAACTTCGTACGTGTGTACATATCAGTTCAGGTTGGCATACCACATTAGCACGGAGATGTAATGCTTACTTCAAATCCAATAGTAGAAGAGGTAGTAAAGGTATTAGAAGTAATCGGAGAGGTTAGGATGAGAAGATATTATTCAAGAAGTATGATTCAGTGAGATAAGTTTAGAAAGACAAAACTAGAGGTGTTGAACAATCCAGAAGATTAGGACTTGAGAGGACACAAAGAATAAATGCACCGGCGCCAGTGCAAACGGTTTTGAGCCATGTCGTTCAAGGTCTCTAACCATCGATTATTATCATTTCGCGGACCCCAACCAGGTAGTCGACAATTACCAACATGGCTCAGTTCACTCGTCAATGACGTCATGGATTTCTGCCATGTTTTGGTTTGGCCACCCCTAACTTTCTTACAACCTATTCCTACACTACAAAACAAAGCTCGACGAGGCAGTCGGTGGTTAGCCATACGTAACACAGGTTCCAACCACCTCAACTGATGAAGTTTCACCACTTCATCTATTGATCTGCCATTCTTACCTAGCACCCAATTCCTAATAACAGCGTCGCTCACTCGCGTGTCCCAGGATATACGAGTAATGCTTTGACGACACCTATGATCGAAAACCAGTAACCTACGAATATCTTCTACTCTCACCGGCCACGTTTCACAGCCATATAGGAGAACGGAGCGAACTACTGCACAGTACACTCGTCCTTTGGTTAGCAAACGGATATCTCGTCTACGCCATAAGTGACGCAGGTTTGCAAAAGCCAATCGAGCCTTCTGTATCTGAGCTTGTATAAGGTTAAGTCAGTCAGTCACAAAGTAGAACTTAGTACGTGTGTACATCAGTTCAGGTTGCCATACCGCATCAGCATGGAGATGTAACGGTCACTTCAAATCCAATAGTGGTAGCGATAGCAGAAGTAGTAACAGTAATGAAGAAGATTAAGGTTAAAAGACATGATTCGAGAAGTATAATTAAGTGAGATAACTTTAAAAAGAGAAAGACAGAGATGGTGAGGAATTAGGAAGGTTAAGAATTGTACCTTGTACCGCTAACACAAACGATGCGAGTTCACGAAACGTTATCCTTGATCTCCTGAAGCACAATTTTCTAAATTAGATGTTGGAGCATTTAATGTTCGGATACTACTGTGTCAAATAGGGAAACAGGCTTCCTTAGCTAGGATTTTAGAATCTCGCGCTTTTAGTCTCATCATTCTTCAATGGACCTGCTTGGCATTGTAGGACCTACAGGAACGTATGTCCCAGCCAATAGAGTTCAGTTGAATCATCACGATTGGCAATATATGTATAGCTTATGTTTGACTGTACAACAGCCAAAGTGGAATTCAAGACTTATATTTATCTCTATTTTCAATATCCCACTGCTAATATCTACCATGAAACTTGAACAAACTATTCACAACTTCAAACTAAACAATCTCCACAAGCTTATACTGAAAATTATAATATGCTGACTAGTGATTAACTTCGTGACGGAATTCTCGGAGTGTCACTGAGAAAAATAGTGATCAGTGTAGTTTAATGATGTCGGAGGTGAGGCAGTGTTATCCAACAAAGACAAAAAAGATAGTCGTGCAAAACTGTGGATCGATGGAAGTTGGACATTAGCACCATTGAGCGAAGATCTAGTGGTGTAGAGGTGAGGCGTTCACACACGCGACCAACCGTCTTGGGTTCCATTCCCGTTGGTGCAGTAGTTGTGGGTGCACACTGCCGATGAGTCCCACCCATATTAGGAAGAAACGGCCTTTCGATGCTCACAGGTTTCTAACAGTGGTATAACATTTAAATCAAGTCTACAACTTACTTGTACTTGTATATTTGGACCAACTTCTTTTAAATATCGAGATAAATCCTCTGGAGGATGTTGATAATGATGGTGAAGAGGAGGAGGAGGATGAAAATTACCACCTCTTGATGTTGTTCCACTATTGAATGCAGATGAATTTAATGAATTCACTGTAGTAGCATTTAAATTTAATAAATTTGTATTGAAATTTTGTGTACCACTACTCATACTACTACTACTTATGGAAGTATGAGTAGTATCTAGTGGTAAAGATTTTCGATTAATTGATTTATTGGGCATAACATGTAATAATTGATAAGTTGGATTATTATGATTATGATTATTATTATTATTACTAACAGGAAGAGTGTTTGAAGATGCAGACGAAGAAAGATTTTGTATACCGTAAATATTTTCATTGACAAAAAATGTATTCATCATATGTGAGTTGCAATCGGAATTCGATAAAGCAGTTCGATGAGTTGTCGATGGATTATTGAGTGAATAGATAGCAACTTGATTGTATAATTGATGTTGAATAAGACGCTAATTGATTTTTTTTTGGAGAAAGAATAAAGGCAAAATGAATATTTCAAATAAACACGAAAAAAGCAACACAGCTAATGAACCACTACGGGTGAGGTTATTTATAATCGTTAGCGTGACATGAGATGGGATTAAAGCATGATTGCGTTAGCTGCATGCTGATTGGATAATTCTTGTCCAATCAGCGCCGGTCGATACTTGGAGAACATTCCAGAAGCTTCTCATGTAAAAAAAACTATAAATATACTAACGTTGTTCTTATTGTGCTTCTTACTTCCATTTAACCTTGTTATTTGGAATATAATCTATTTCCTGTTCAACCATATTCTGATTTGGGGACTTGTCGAGTGGATTGGCGTCAAAGAATACTAAGCAATAGGAATAGTTAGGTTCTACTAAGAGAGAATTATGACAATTAAAAAAAAAGATTTTTCATTAAAACCAACTCCACCTGGAGCCCTTCTAGGGTTGGTGCCGGTCCTAAATTCATGTACAGTAGGATGGTTAGGTATGGAGGGTTAGCGACCCCGTCCGCTAGAAACCCAACTCACTGTTAACAAACGCTAACCACAAAAAAATTATTCATTGGTCGGCGATGTGTACGTAGTTACATTGAAACTGATTACGCGTATGCGGAATTTTCTACACCAACCAATTCAACTAGTTTCATTGCTTAAAACACAACATTCTGTTAATTTCATTGAGATGAACCGATGACGTAAATTTAATTATTGGGAACAGTGAAGATTTTGCAAACAGTTCCACATAATCTGGTCAAAGAGCTGCATAAACTGATCATGATCAACAGTTGAAGTTGTTGTTTTTTTTTACAAAAAAAAAACAAACACTTGAACAAACTCCTCCGGGGCTACTGACGATCTCAAGCTCAGAGATAAAAGAGGAGGAGGGTTGGGAGTAGAAAGAAACGCTAACCAGAGAAAATCATTCACACTCGCAAACACACTTAGATAAAATCACGTGAACTTACTTTACGTTGTTCAGCTAAAAGACGTTGATGTGTCAATTGATTACGTTGACTTGCTGCAGCTTGTTGACTAGCTAAAGCAGCAGCTACAGCGGCTTTATTGACAACATTTGTAGGAGTAGTAGTAGTAGTGGTAGTGGTAGTGACAATAGCAGCAGTAGGAGTAGTGGCAGTACGCTGATTATTTCCACTAGGATGACGACGTTGTAATAGTACAGTACGTTGATTAGTACAATTTGTCATTGGATGTGAATAAGTTGTTGACCATGTTGTACAAGTTGTAGTCATTAAATTAGTCATTGCTATAGAGAGGGGGTGGGGAGGAGGACAGAATTAATCAATGAATTAATGACGTTTTGTTCAATTGATGATTGAAAGACGGAGAAAGTTAAATTTTTTTAGATTTTTATTCATTTGAACAATCAAAAAAGAAGCAAAAATGTGACAACAAACAAACAAACACACAAAAACTTAAACCGAATCAATGTACTTTAAAAAGAATGCAATAATAGTTCTCTCTCCTTCGGTGTCTTTCCACATCAAAGTGCATTGTATGTATTGAATGTAGGTATGTATGTATGTAGCCATATATATATATATATATATATATATATATATATATATATATATATATATATTACATAACGAATGGTGATGTGAAAATTTTGAATGGCACTACTTACTTACTATTTAAAAAGTAAGAAAATTAAAAGTCAATATGAGGAGACAATGCATTGTTGACAAGTTTCTTTGTGTTCGAAATAACTATCTTCTTCTTTCTTTTTTCTTGTTAAAAACAAATGGTACTACTTTAAAAATTACACTTTATTTTTTTATTGTTTGGAAATTCGATTTGATTTACAAGAACTATATTAATGAGAATAATGAATGAATAGACAGTTTGTATTACGGGGTTGTGAAGATTGTGAAGTTACACACAATATTTGAAACCATGTATCGATCAATGTTAGACCGCCATTAGAAGAAACCTGGAAGAAGCACTGAAAGACGGCCGTTTCTTCCTGGTGCTCACTAGTGACTAGCTTCTTCGTGAGGAATCTTCTCCGAGTTCTAGTGGGAAGACGTGACCACTGTGAAGTTCAACCTGTTCGGGTGTAGGCAGTGTCTACCGAAGACTGTGTATGAGGTTGCGCAACTCCGTGAATTTGATCAAGTTAGACATTAACACCGCTGGATACCGGCCCAGTGGTCCAGATGTGAGGCGTTCGCGCAAAATACCGAAGGTCCTGGGTTCGAATCCTGCGGGGTGCAGGAGTCGTGGATGCGCACTGCTGAGGAGTCCCATACCAGGACGAAACGGCCGTCCAGTGCTTACAGGTTTCTAATGGTGGTCTAACATTGATCGATTCATGGTTTCAAAAATGTGGAATAGATAGCTGACAACATTCAGTGGGTTTCTTTGTTTGTTTGTTTGTGTTTTTTTTAAATTTCGATCTACAAGTCATCGACTTTTTGTTTGTGAAACCAGAGTTGGATTACTTACTGATGCCTGTTTACCGCCCCCTCCCCGCAGTGGGTCATAAGCCGCCGACTAGGATTCTACAGCCTACTCTCTCCTGGGTATTCCCTTTCTAGTTCTGTCCAATTGTTGTTCATTCTTCTCATGTCTATCTTGGTGTAATGTATTTTTTTTAATATTCCTCTTTTACTTTTGTCATGAAGATTCTTGTCTTGTGACGCAATGTGTCCTATCCGCCGCTAGCGCTACTTTTTGATTTCTTACACAACAGGAATCTAGTTTATTATATCCCACAGAAGATTGTTGTTGGTGGTAGTGTCTGGTCAGCGGAACCGAAGTATTTCGGATATTACTATTAGTCCTCACATAAAATGTGCACGATAAGTAACTTACGAATGATGCATACAGAAAAAGTCCGAAGATCGCACAGTTCGTACGTACGTACATCGGTTCAAATTAACATACCATATTAGCACAGAGATGCAATTGTCACTTCAAATCCCATAGTAGTAGAGGTAGTGTTAGCGATAATCGGAAATTTTAGGGTCCGCATGTAGAACATCCGGGGATACCGCCGGTCCTAAGCCTGAAAAAGAAAGTTGGGATTGGCAACTCCATCCCGCAAAGAAAACACTAACAAGAAAATATAATTCAAACCATTTAAACTGCTCTGGGAGTTAGGTCTTCTTCATTGATAAGAGTTATGACGTCTCACGATGAAAGCCGAGTTCCTTCGGAAGTCACGGGGCCGATGTCCATTCTGAAAACCAAAGCCCTTCCAAGGTGTGGGAAGCCGGGAAGTAACCGAATCGATCAGAATCAAATTATGAGACTTCACTCTCTTAATATAATACAGTAAGGTTGATGTGCATATATATATATATATATATATATATATAAACTTATTCAAATCAATCAAGGCAATTTAATGAGCCAGTGATAACAGTGTAACAAAAAGTACAAATAGGTGTTCTGGTTATGACAAGGTATAATAAAGGCATGAATCAATATTTCATCATAGGAAGTAAGTCAAAAAGCTTGGAAAACTAGACAATGGAGAAATAACAATCGTTAGAATTTCAAAATGCAACAGAATCATCTCACGATTCACTGAAATCATCCATCAATCAATGTGAGGTCACTACTACTAGGAACCTGTAGGCACGTGCTGCTAGTATGAGACTTACCAGCAATGCGTATTCACCGACTTGCAGCCAGGAATCGAAAACACAATCGAACCCTAACCTCAGGGATCGCGCAGTGGTCAGTTCACAACTTCGATACAACTCAACTCAATACTATAATGAGCTTAAATGGTTTGAAAATTTGTTTGTTTAGGTCAGATCATGCTAACCCAGTACACTCGACTGTACTACTATGATGACATGAGGGCAGTACGGTGTTTCCCTCAGATAACCAGCAACTGAAGCGATGTTATCTTCAACAAAAGAGGGAAAATTTTAAAACAAATCGACTTTGTAACTGTCAAACACCTCATCATACTTTATGAATATCTGACTCCAACAGTAAAATCTTTATTTACAAAACTAATATACCAAGAGCTACCTATAAAAAAAGCCATGTGTGATAGGTTGTTACCCCCCCCCCACGTTCACCAGTTGTCCAGTCCATCTAACAGGGAATACATATACCTCAGGAATAGTTATCTTATCATATTGATTGTGAGAAGTAACAACTGGCAACACACATACTTCTAACAACATTCGAGTATACAGTGTTTGAACGATTAACACTTAAAAACACATATATATATATATATATATATATATATATATATATATATAACATAAACAAAAATACACCAAAATTACCTGGATTTGGCGCTGGAGCAGTATATTTCACTGACATATCATTTCGATGATTAATTAAATAATCCGAAACATTATTAGATGAGGTAGAAGTATAACTAGTATTGTTCATTTTCGAAGAATAACCAGATAATTCTGTTACAGTGTTAGTGTTGCTGTTGTTTTTCACTAATGTGACTGGCAATTTCTCTGTCACCAAACCTTGTTGTAATTGTTCACAGATACGTGCAACTGCTTTAGCATCATTTTGCCAATTCACATCATCTTCTTCCAGATAATTAATCAATTCACCATCTCCAACAACCACTACAGCATTCTCATCATTGATCACCGTGTCTGTTTGATGATCCGACATGGATGTGGATGAAGAGAAACGGGATCGTTTAGAACTGGGTGATTCACTTAAATATGATAAGGACTTATTATTATTATTACCGGCCTCTGTAGTAGTAGCAGTACTATTTGTACTACTACTATTAGTAGTAGTAGTCGTATCACAATGATCAACATGTTGACTACTTCTTTCCAATTCATCACGTCTCAATATCTCGCATAGAATCTCCACTTCTTCAGATATCTCTTTCGATGAAGTAGTCGATGGATGTCGTTTAGGCAAGAGTGATGATGAAGAAGACGAACATGGTGAACATGTACTCAGGGGATTATTATTTTCATCTAATATCGTCTCATTTGGATTAGTGATTGCTTCATGGATTAACTGTTGCAGATCGTCATCATTCCATTCGACTGGAGCTATTGAATAGGACGATGTGGGTAGCGGTTGTGGTGGCGCTGGTGCTAGTATTGAGGTGGAGGAGGATGTTTCAGCACAACTACTATTGGTATTACTAGTATTACTAGCAAGTAATTTACTGAACGATTGATTGTTATCCACAGTCGATGTGAATTGTAAACTTTTAAAGCAAAATACAAATAAATGTTCACGGGTGAAAGGAATCAAGTTGTAATCAGCATTAATATAGATAAAGTTTAAATATCATATATCTTAAAAAACAAGTGATCAGTTTATCATCAGACTAAAAAAATTAATGAAAAGTTGTTTAAATGATGAAAACATTCAGTTTAATCTATTTCATATCATTGATCCCATCAGTCAGTCAGTTAACAAAAACGCGGAACTTAGTAGGTATGTAAAAAACGTTGTGACACGACGATAGCACAGAGACAAAAGTCAGTTCAAATCTCATAGTGGTGGTAGAGATCGAGGAAGTATTTATTGACAGTAAAGAAGATAAGGGTTTGGAGAAATTATTCAAGAAGCCATAATTCAGAAAGACGGAGATAGAGGTGATAAAGAATTCAGAAGATTAGAATCTCAGAGAACACAAAGAATGGATACATCTGAGCCAGTGCGAATGGTTACTATCATCTCGCGGACTCCAACCAAGTAGTTGTTTACACCTACAAACATGTACGAAGGATTTGATTTTGACCAATTTGGTCTCGCGTGCTGTTACGAGTATGAGGGCGGTTGTCACTTCCCGGCTGCCACACCGTGGAAGGTTGTTTCTTGAGGGACCTGAAAAGGAAGGTAGATTAGTGTTGGTCTTAGAGACTCGGGAGCGTGACAGCAAAGTCCAAGGGAAAACTGCTTGAGGCCGGTAACACACGGCCTTTTTATGAAAGATTTTTTGAGTATTAGCTCCGCTCTTGAAATCCCTTAGTGGGTACCCTTACCACCGGAGACGGAAATCTGTGAGGTAGGGGAGGTGTGACATTTTTAGGGTCGACCTTTTCTAACCCTTCCTTCCTTATGAGAAGTCTGCATTGCTGCAGATGCTGGTTGTCCTATGGAAACACCTTACTGCTGTCACACCCCTCTGCAGTCAGCAGTACGACTTCGCTCTCAGACCTTGGGTAGCTACTTTTAGTCTCATCGCTCTCCAATCGACCAGCCTGGCATGGTAGAACCTTCAGGAACATAAGTTCCCCCATTTTCGAACAATGTGAAGCGTATCACGCTCATCTCAAAAACATAAGTTCCAGCCAATATAGCTCTGTTGGGTCATCACGATAGGCAAGCCCGACCACCACGTCAAGGTAGCAGCTACCTCTTCTACTATTGGATTTGAATCGACAATTACATCTCTGTGCTGACGTGGTACGGCAACATGAACTGATGTACTTACGTACGAAGTTCTACGTTGCATCTGACTGACTGGCTGACTGACTAACTGACCAACATGTACTTACCATTAAGTGTAATTATACTCGCACACCAGTTTCAATTAATGTCATGGCTTTATTTAAATACTGCATGCTTAGTATATGGAATATTTCAATCGATTTACTACTTTACAGCAAAATCAGTAGTGATCGACAATTGTGAAAGGGCAATTCAAAAATTGACATTTTATTAAGGTTTATTATTTTTTTTTCCTCATCAGATTGCCACTCTTACTGAGATGTGTATAGAATTGTATTTTTTTCTTATAAATTGTGAAGCAATAGCTCGTAAGATTTTTTTTATACATACCTGAATAGATAGATTATGTGATTGATCGACATAATTGGTGTGTTAAAATAAACAGAAAAAGGTAACGTATTGAATAACATCGATGCTGACACAATTCAAATTGTAAAATCGATGAGTTATAACTGTGAAATTATCTCATTTTCGAAATAATCAAATGTTCGGGGTGTTAAAAAAAACCCAGGTTGGTAGGAGGATCTATATCTAGGGGAGATGTAAAGCCGTGATACCAAACCAATGATTCACAGGGATTCTAGGATGCGAAAAGGGAACACCTACTGTTGGTCAATGGTAATCAGAATTATTCATCATCTCTATCTTTCCATTTCTAAAGTTATCTCACTGAACTATTATACTTCTTGAATGACATCTTCGATCCCTAATATTCTCCATTAAAGCTAATTCTTCTACAATCTCCACAACTGTGGGATTTGAAGTGACGATTGTATCTCTGTCTGCTAATGTGGTATAGCAACGTGAGAGAGACAGACAGACAGATACAACGCAGAACTTCGTACATAAGTACATCAGTTCATGTTGCCATATCACGTCAGCACAGAGATGCAACTGTCAGTTCAAATCCAAAAGTGATAGTGATAGTAGATGTATTAGCAGTAATGGAGAAGATTATGGAGCGAAGATATGATTCGAGAAGTATAATTCAGTAAGATAAATTTAGAAGGAGAAAGGTAGAGATTATGAGGAATGCAGAAGGTTAGAATTAGAGAGAACACAAGCAGTGGATGCACCTGCGCCATTGCAAACGATTCTGAGACATGTCGTTTAAAGGTCTCTAACCATCGGTGACTATCGTCTCGCGGACTCCAACCAGGTAGCCTACATCTACCAACGACAGCATTGCTTATACGGTTGTCCCAGGATACACGAGTAATCCTTCGGAGAAATCGATGATCGAAGATTAGTAACATACGGAAGTCCTCTACTCTTAACGGCTAAGTCTCGCATCCGTACAGTAGGACGGAGCGAACTGCTGCACAATACACTCGTCCCTTGGTTAGCAAACGGATATCTCGCCTACGCCATAAGTCACGCAGGTTGGCAAAAGCTAATCGAGCCTTCTGTATCCGAGCTGAGATTTCGTCAGACACCGAGCCATCAGCACTGATGAGACTGCCAAGATAAGTGAAGCGGTCTACACGCTCAACTACTTCACCCCCTATCACTAGTTCAGGCGCCGAAGAAACCCAATCTTGAAGCAGCATTTTGCATTTCGAGGGGAAAACCGCATCCCGAACATGCTTGCATTGTTGCTTAGGGTGGTCAGAAGACTCTGTATTTTGTCAGCGTCTTCATCAAGTAGGACTATGTCATCGGCATATTCTAAGTCGATAAGCGAACCTCCTGGTAAAAGTTCTACTTATGAAAATTCAGACGAGGATAAGGTTATTTCTAAGAGCATGTATATGATAAAATTAAACAAGAATGGAGAGAGTGGACATCCCTGACGGACACCACTTGAAGTAAAGAATTCCGGTGACAGTGAACTGATGTACGTACGTATGAAGTTCTATGTTGTTGTTGTTGGCTGACTGACTGATTGTTGGTCACCGGTAATCATGGAATTACATCTCCCAATGTTGCCTCCATTGCCTTGTGAACTAGACCCCCGGATAAAATGCTCGAACAATGAGCCCCAAGAAAATCACGTAAATATTAGTGCAAAAGGGTACAAAAATATATGTGCGTAACACATAAATGAATTTATGTTTAGGGTGGGACGCTCTCTTTGGCTGTCTAAACAAATGAATATGGTTTTCTTACCGGGGAGATATACACTCAAAACCTGCAAGTCAGTCAGTCAGATCAGATGCAATGTAGAACTTCGTACGTAAGTACATCAGTTCATGTCACCATACCACATCAACACAGAGATGTAATTGTCAATTCAAATCCAATAGTAGAAGAGGTAGTAAAGGTATTAGAAGTAATCGGAGAGGTTAGAATTAGAAGATATTATTCACGAAGTATGATTCAGTGAGATAAGTTTAGAGAGTCGAAACTAGAGGTGTTGAAGAATCCAGAAGATTAGGATTTGAGAGAACACAAACAATAAATGCACTGGCGCCATTGCGAACGATTTGGAGCCATGTCATTCAAGGTCTCTAACCATCGATTATTATCATCTCGCGGACTCCAACCAGGTAGTCGACAATTACCGACATGGCTAAGTCCACTCGTCAATGACTTCATGGATTTCTGCCATGTTTTGGTTTGGCCGCCCCTAACTTTCTTCCAACCTACTCCTACACTACAAAACAAAGCTCGACGAGGCAGTCGGTGGTTAGCCATACGTAACACAGGTTCCAACCACCTCAACTGATGAAGTTTCACCACTCCATCGATTGATCTGCCATTCTTACCTAGTACCCGTTTCCTAATAGCAGCGTTGCTCACTCGGGTGTCCCACGATATACAAGCAATGCTTCGAAGACACCTATGATCGAAAACCAGTAACCTATGAATATCTTCTACTCTCACTGGCCATGTTTCACAGCCATAAAGTAAGAGAGAGCGAACTATTGCTCAGTACCAAAACCTACAAGGCAGAGGAACAAATTTAGAAGAGATGCAGTCTCAACCAAGGTACACAAAAACACCACCATCACCACCATCATCAACAACAACAACAACAACAACAACAATAGAATCAAAATACTCTGAGAAATGATATCCACATGACAGCAGTACTTACTTAGTTTGTTCATTGTTTTTATCAGTATGACTAATTGTCGAATAATTATTCATTGTAGAATAAGTAGTCTCACAACAATTCAATGGCAAATTTGAATTGTATTCTACATTTGCTACAGCACATGTTATTTCATCTGGTTCTAATTGAGCATTTAATAATAATTGACATAAACTCGATTGTCCAGGCATTGAATTATTAATAGAATTAGAATTACAACTGATATCTGATTGTTTACTGATTTTCATTACAAGATATTTATCATTATTATCTAATTTTGACTGGATATTAGAGTTGGGCGCTGAGGTTGACCAAGACAGTGTGGATAAGGTGTTTTCGTTAGGTGGATCAGACGACGAGGCAGAAGAAGAAGACGCCGGTGGCAGCGGTAGATGTTGACTGTAAGCAACAACATTATTGGCATTGGTGAATAGATCTGTATGATGAACAAAAGTAAAGAAATAGAGATTATACAAGTAGAACGTTAACTCTCTTCTAACCTACGAACTACTCAACAGTAATCACACTAAAAAAATCATGAATACAATTTTTAAGAGGAGCATAAAACAATCAATCGTACACTATAACAAAAACCAATAGTCAATCAGTCGGTCAGCAACAACAACGTAGAACTTCGTACGTACGTATATCAATTCAAGTTTCCATACAGAATTAGTATACAGAGACGCGATTGTCAATTTCAATCCCATAGTAGTAGAGGTAGTAGAAGTATTAGCAGAAATAGGAGAGATTAGGGTTCGACGATATTATTGAAGGAGTATAATTTAGTGAGATAAATAGTAAACGATTTTGAGGCATCTCCTTCAAGGTTTCGAACCACTGGTGTGACCCTGGCGACCCCAAACATCTAACAACATGACTCAGTCCACTTGCTAGTGACTTCATGGATTTCTGTCATGCTTTGATTTGACCGGTCCTAGCCTTCTCTTTCAATCTATTCCTACACCGCAAAACATAGGCCGTTGAGGTAGTCGCTTGTAACACATATCCTAACCACCTCAACTGAATGAGATGCTCAGAAATCTATCAATTTTGTTCAGTAGTTAGTCAGGTAGTTGTAGTAATGGTAGTTAACTATTCATAGTGCACAATCACGGATTGACTTTAACTAGACAAACACTAAAAAGTATTGGGCAATTGATCAAGTAGGCAAGTCAGTGTATAATCCACCACCCACTGACTGTCAGATCTCATGTCACATAAAACCGAACAATACTAGACCATCATTGTAAACCTGGAAGCACTAGAAGCCCGTTTCGTCCTACGATGGAACTCATCAACAATGCACATTCATGATCTCGCAAGCGGGAATCAAACCCAAGACCTTCGGTTTCGCACGCAAACACTTTATCTCTGGACCACTGAGTTTGTTGTATGCAACTTTAATCAATCCACAAAGGCCGCATGACTGTTAAACATTATTTACACCCGGACACGTTCGAACTCCATTGATCATAGCTTCTTCTTCTCACTAGATACACACCATTTGCAAATGGAATCCCTAAAAAACAATAGAACTATAACCTATGAAATGGAAATAACTTTCTTCAACAGATAAATATTCATAGCCAAAAAAAATTTAATAATTCACCTTGATTTCTTCTTGTAGATTCTTCATTGGTTATCATCATCATCATGGGATTAGATTGAAAATGTGCATAATTTTGTTCATTTGTCAGACATGAGGAAGAAGATTTAATCGATTTACAAGGATAATAATCATCATCATCATCATCATTTACTCCAGTGTACTTGGGAGAATTATCCATTGACGAATATAACATCATATCTGAGACTAATGGAAAATCTTGTAACAGTAATTGTGTTAATGATGTAAACGGTGGACTAGGAATTACATCATTCTGATGTAGATGATCCGATGTACCAGAATTGTTTCTTGTACATAGTGAAGAGGAAGCAGGTGGAACAGGCGGAGCAGGTAGATGAGGAAGAAGAGGTTCTTCAAATTGTGATGCATGTCGTGTACGTTTATTACCGGTTGATGGTGGTATATTGGAAGGTGATAAAATGGATTGTGTTGTAGTGACAGGACCGCTACGACATCGTTTACTAGTGGTGGTAGTATTATTCATTGTCGGCTGGTGACTATTACAAAGATTATCTAAAGAAACAGCAATCGATAATCGACAATCGGATTTTCTATTGTCAATTAATTGTCGTTGTACAACAACCACATTGTTAATATCACTTGGAGTATTTGTAATTAGAATAGGTGTGTTAAAATCCATTGTTTCTGGAATAGATTGAGAGGTTGGTGTTATTGTTGTTGTTGCTACAGAACGTGACAGCAATGTTGAAGAAGCGAACTTCGATAAATGCTACAAAGAAAATGAATAAATGAGCAACATTACTGCTTATATCATCAAATCATACCACGAATCATTTAAAAATCAATGTTCAAGTTTAACATTTGATTTCATCCGGGGAAACCAGTAGGTATGTAGGAGTACTATACAGTAAAAAAACAATACTGGTTAGATCACCTAATTTCATCAACATCATAAGCCGATCAATCAGTGTTAGATTAACATTAGAAACGTGGAAGCAATGAATAGTAGCGACTTATCGCGAGGCACAATCATGACATTGCAAACGGGAATCGAATCAAAGATAGCCGGGTCTCGCATGCGATCGCCAAATCTCTACGCTCTCTCTCTGAGTCTGCATCCAACGATGTTAATGCCTAACTTCAATCGATCTACAATATTGCATCATATTTGCCACGAATTGAACTCCACTGGTTAGAACTTCAAGAATGCCCTCGCGAAGCCAATCACTAGTCAGTGGAGATGTTTAACTTCATCGAAATCACAAACCGATCAATATCAGACAATCAGCACAAGACGAAACGACTGTTCAGTGGTAACCAAGGTTCCAAATGACAGTCTAACTTACACACTGATTAGTTCATGATTTTGATGACACTCAACAACTAATTAAAAATATAACTGGATGATTTCTGCTCTTTAAAATGTACAACAGTTTATTTTATAACTTACTGTAAACAGTGATTAATGTTTTCCCGACCGTAGCTGCTACCTTGACGTGGTGGTCGGGCTTGCCTATCGTCATGACCCAACAGAGCTATATTGGCTGGAACATATGTTCCTGCAGGTCCTACCATGCCAGGCTGGTCGGTCGGAGAACGATGAGTCAAACGGCAGCTACCCAAGGTCTGAGGGCGAAGTCGTACTGCTGACTGACTGCAGAGGGGTGTGACAGCAGTAAGGTGTTTCCCTCGGACAACCAGCATCTGCAGCGATGCTGCCTTCTCACAAGGAAGGAAGGGTTAGAAAATGACGGCCCTAAAAATGTCACACCTCCCCTAACTCACGGATTTCCGTCTCCGGTGGTAAGAGTGCCCACTAAGGGCCTTTAAGAACGGAGCTAATACTCAAAAAATCTTTCATAAAAAGGCCGTGCGTGACCGACCTCAAGCAGTTGTCCCTTGGACTCTTCCTTTTCAGGTCCCTCAAGAAACAACCTTCCACGGTGTGGGCAGCCGGGAAGTGACAACCGCCCTCATACCCGTAACAGCACGAGAGACCAATCTGGTCGAAATAAATCAAATCCTTCCTGACTGATTAATGTTTTCATCATCAGAAAGATCTGAGAGACAAATCATTTCATGTTTCACAAAAAAGTTCATAATTGTAGTATACAAAAAAAACTAACATTGATCAGTGTCAATTTTAGTGAGATTCAAATGAGTAATTTAAGATTTTTGTGAAAGAGGAAAAACAATTGTGTTTATTATCAATAATAGTTTAACTTATGACAGTTTGAAATAAGGTAAGTTAGAAGCACGCACGCACACACACAAACAGAGAGAGAAAAAAATTGTACTTTTATGTCTGCTTGTTCATTCATTGTTTTACAATGACATCTATCTACAAAGTGGCTAGCATAGCAGCAGCAGCAGATAGAAACAATAAAAAAAGAACACTGAAGCAGATGTTTCCACCAAATCACGATATGTTGATTGCAATTATCAGGTTGATTGATAAACATCTGATTGCTTTTTTTTACTTGACAAGTTCTTATTCTAGAGTCAGTCAGTCAGTCAGTCAATTACAACGTTGAACTTCGTACGTACGTCAGTTCAGGTTAACATACCACCCACCAGAACACAGACGCCACTGTTAGTTCAAATCCGATAGTTGTGGCGATAGTAGTAGTGTGGTGCGCGCTACTTATAAGTAGTAAATGACGCGAGTGTAAACGTAATGTCTGGCAGTAGAAGATGGGGGAAGATCAAGAAAGGAGGAATGGGAACACAATGGAATTTGTATGAAACGTATGAATAAGTGAAATGTCAGACAATGGATAGATGATGGATTGAACATTTGCAAATTAACGGTTTACGATATGGTTTTCCTATTTTACTGAGTAACTCTGTAATTTTCGTTAAATACAATTCGGTTGCCCTCACCTGTGTTCTCCTTCACTACAGTAGTATTACTGGTAATGGAGAATATAAGGAATCGAAGATTATTATTCAAGAAGTGAGATAACTTTAAAAAGAGAAAGATAGCGATGATGGGGAATTCAGAAGATTAGAATTTTGAGCGAATACAAAGAGTGGATATACACTTGCACCATGTCGTTCAAGATGTAAACTTTTTGGATTAAGGTGTATGTGTATATGTTGATAAACAGTACTTGTAAATAATTAAGGACTGTAAAACTTTCAAGTGATGAAAATCGATTGTTTGTAATTCTTTAAATATATGAAAAAAAAACACAACCTAAACACAGCAAGCACAACAGACACCTGATTTAGGCTGATAATAATTGTTCTAGTTAATAGTCATGTGTTGAGGGGTCACGAGAACTGAATAACCTCAGTTTAATAATAGTTATTAGAATGTCCGATATAATGATGATGAAACAAGTTTAATTGTCTAATATTCTCTAATTTATCAATACCATATCAAATAAAATTAATTCATTTTATGCGAATATTTCATTTTATATATCTGGAAATATATATAGTGGTGACTTACTCCTCCTACATCATAAGTAGTATTCATATCTGTGTTATGATGTCCAATAGTATGATTTTTTGTTGGATGCAATAGACGCTGTTAAAACAATAATAATAATAATAATGATAATAATAATAATAATAATAATACTAAATAATACTAAGTATCTATCTACAAATCAACACATAGATACGACTAAATGTGTGTAATGAAACATCGTTATCTGGGGAGTCTCATCAGCGCTGATAGCCTGGTGACTGATGAAATCTCAGCGCAGATATAGAAAGCTCGATTGGCTTTTGCCAATTTACGCCGTTTATAGCGTAGGCGAGGTATCCATTCGCTAACCAAAGGACGGGTGTACTGTGCATCAGTTCGCTCCGTTCTCCTATATGGATGCGAAACATGCCCGTTAAAAGTAGATGTTCATAGATTACTAGTGTTCAATCATAGATGTCTTAGAATTATTCCTCGTATATCGTGGGACAACCGAATGAGCAATGCTATCGTTAGGAAACGAGTACTAGGTAAGGATGGCAAATCAGTAGATGAAGTAGTGAAACTTCATCAGTTGAGGTGGTTGGGACATGTGTTACGAATGTTTAACCACCGACTGCCATGAAGAGCTATGTTTTGTGGTGTAGGAATAGGTTGGAAGAAAGCTAAGGGTGGCCAGACCAAAACATGGCAGAAATCCATGAAGCCACTGACAAGTGGACTGAGTCACGTTAGTAGATGTAGGCTACTCGGTTGGGCTACGCGAGACGAAAGTCACCAATCGTTAGAGACCTTGAACGACATGGCTCAAAATCGTTTGCAATGGCGCCGGTGCATCCATTCGTTGTGCTCTCTCAAATCCTAATCTTCTGGATTAGTCAGCACCTCTACCTTTGTCTTTCTAACCTTATCTCACTGAATTATACTTCTTGAATAATATCTTCAAACCCTAATCTTCTTCATTACCATTAATACCTCTACTATCTTTATCACTATGGGATTTGATTTGACATTTGCGTCTCTGTGCTAATAATGTGGTATGACAACATGAACTTATGTACATGCGTACGAAGTTCTACGCTGCAACTGACTGAGGATTCCAAAAAAAACTAATTAAAAACACGTTAAAATTGATTCAGCACTTACAACTAATAAACTTTCAGTTCGTGGTTGTGCAGACGCTGATGATGATGATGCTGAACGAATTTCAATGTACGGCAAATTGGTTGATGAAGTAACAGTAGTAGTAGTAGTACTAGTACTAGTAGTACCAACAGTAGTAGTAGTCGTCGTCATCATCATCAATGAACCATTATGATTAGAGGATAATAATGAACGTTCATGATGAAATTTCTGCTGACACATTGATGATGATGATGATGATGTTGAGATAGGACTGTAAGCTTTTTCTGTTATAGTAGTGTTAGGTGAACAACCGCCGCTATATTGTAAATGGTGTATTTGTTGACTAGACGCAGGTAATTGACAACATGATGTTACTACTGACGAAATTCCAGAAGTTGACTGTTGCTGCTGCTGTAGTTTATCGTCATTTTTCGATGAACATAATGATGGTGGTAGTATGCAAAGATCTGCTTCCTCTGATAATAACCATTCAAGCATACAACATTGTGAATTAGTTGATACTCGCGGTAAATCACTACTATTACTACTAGTAGTACTGCTGCTAGATGAAGTGTATGGAGTTTCACTGAGAAGATTATCACCACTATTATCAATTGACTGTGAAACAATTCGTTGATCTGTTTGTTTTATACAGGATGGTAATGATGAACTACCACTACTACTATTGCATACTGTTCCACTATAAGGTGTGGTAGACACTTCATGATTCTGTTTAATTTTTAAAAAACAAACATTGGAAAGCAACTGTAATGCTGATTAATATGTTTTGTACACATTTCCATCGGATTGAAAAATTTAATCGAAATCAGAGAAAACTTATTTTTTTTTTAAAAAAAAAAGAAAATTATTATGATTAGTCCCCACTAGAAAATCATATCAGGCCGCCCCCCGTCAAGGCTACCAAAATCGAAGAACATGATTTTCCTACAAGGCTACTACTACTACTACTGTAGTGAACAAGAACACACGTGGGGCAACCGGATTGTATTTAACGAAAATTACAGAGTTACTCAGCAAAATTGGAAAACCATATCGTAAATCGTTAATTTGCAAATTATCAGTCCATCATATCGAACTGGACTGTTCCTGTTGCAAAACATCAATCCATTGTCACTATTCATGCGTTTCATACGAATCGCATTGTGTTCCCATTCTTCCTTTGTTGATCTTCCACCATCTTCTGCTGCCAGACATTACGTTTACACTCGCGTCATATACTACTTATAAGTAGCGCGCAACACAGTAGTAGTATTACCGATATTTTTATTTTATCACGTCATATACTACTTATAAGTAGCTCGCACCACACTACCACTACTACTCCTAAAGCCTAGAAATCGAATCTACGAGGTAGTGGAACAACATTACGTGAGGACATTTCATGGTAGTTGATGACCAATGCACCTTTTGTTTCCTTAGGAATTTGGAGCTCATGTACAACACTAAGTGGGTTGGAAATCAGGGTTTTACAACTTTTCCAAATGGATCTTCTGTATCGTCAGACATGCCATTTTCGTCCTTTAAGTATCGTTAACAGCACCCTCGCCAGAGAACGCGAGGGTGAGTAAGATTCCCCCGGTACGGGTGTACCTATATATGAGAGCTAGTTAAGGTAGAGAGGACTCTTCTCACTTTTGGTTGCACATACACATTTTGCAGCAGGAACCAGGAGATCAGTGAATTTCATGAATCAACTTTGACGCCTTTTAGCCTCATTACTCTCTCTCTCATTCAAATCAAGTGACAAACGAGCTTACAAAGAAATAGGTAATTAACATGTAAAACATTAGACATATAATAATAGTAACCTAGATTGCTAACATCATCGGCAATCAAGGTGGATCGGATGCAGATGTGAGGGCGTGGATCGGCAAAGCAACGGCTGCATTTATACAGTTGAAAAATATCTGCAACTACAAATAACTTTCAACCAACACCAAAATCACGATTTTCAATACAAATGTCAAGACAGTTCTACTGTATGCAGAGGAAACTTGGCGAACTACCAAAGCCATCATCCAGAAGATACAAGTGTTTATTAACAGTTGTCTTCGCAAAATACTTCGGATTCGTTGACCAGACACCATCAGCAACAATGTACTGTGGGAGAGATCAAACCATATTCTAGTGGAGGAGGAAATCAGGAAGAAGCAGTGGAAGTGGATGGGACACACACTACGAAAAGCACCTAACTGCATCACGAGACAAGCCCTCACATGGAACCCTCAATGCAAAAGGAAAAGAGGAAGGCCAAGGAACACATTACGCCGAGAAATAGAGAAAGATATGAGAGGAATGAACAAACATTGGACAGAACTGGAGAAGGAAGCCCAGGACAGAGTTGGTTGGAGAAAACTGGTGGGCGGCCTATGCTCCATTGTGGGTAACAGGCGTAAGTAAGTAAGATTGCTAACAATTTCTAAAATTAAAAAAACTCACTTCATCTATTATTTATTTAGTGTATAAACTACAATTTGGAAAACTTTTAACACACTAAAATATTATTCACTTAAAACCGTTTTTCATTGACTGACTGACTGACAATCGTCAGCAGGAAACCTTGAATGGCCCATGCGCTCCGTGCTGATGGTTATGTGCTCAAAGTATGCGCATCCACAGTCTTAAATGAACCAATGCTGCTTGAACTCTCTAGCCTGACTATCACCTCAAAAAATCTCAACATAGTAGTGTGCCCTTGATCGATAGAATTCAATTAGCTCCAAAAAAAAAAGAAACTAGACAAACACGATATTTGGTTGAAACAACTAGATAGCGTAACAATATTTTAGGGAAAACAAAAGGGATTCACGTATAAAATTATTCAAAAAAAAAACTAACTTACTGTATTATTAGTAATTTTAGATGAAGTGACACTAGTGGCTGTCACATTAGGCCATACAACACTTGAATCAGTAGTGTCCACAGCACTCGCAGTAGTTTTATTATTACGAACTAGGTTGTGTGACATTTCAGATGAGAACATTTCCGATGTAGGCGATGTTGTTGTATCACGAATACCACATAATGATGAAGTAGTAGACGGTATTGTTGTTGTTGTTGTTGTGGTCGACAAAACAATAGAACTAGTAGTAAAAGAATTGTTCGTTTCTTCAATGACATTGGCAGTAGAATTGGAAGTGGAGTGTTTTGCTTTAGAGTAAATAAAAAAAAACAAACAAGAAAGACAATATGAAATATAAATCATCTCTATACAGAAAAAAAGGCGGCAAGTTTTAGTGATTTATGTGATGGGTGATGAAGTTTCGTTTTCTTTGTGAACTAGGTTGTGTTTTGGTTGTGTAAGGCTTTCACTGTCCTTCTGGCTGAACAACATCATCATTTTCAGCACTGCAACTTCAGACTTCTACTGAAGAACAAAAACTCCATCACAATTATCATTCAGCTGAGCTAGAAATTTTCTCCATCATCATTGAAATTTATTAATCAATCATTGTTAGACCACCATTCGAAACCTGGATGAAGCTGGTCACTAGTAAGCACTGGCTTTGTGCGGAAACTGTCATAGTTCTAGTGAGAAGATTTGACCAGTAGTAAACTTCAACCCTGTTGAGTGTAGACAGTAAGTAACTATGGAAGACAAATGAGTGAGGTCGCGCGAAATTCCTAGATTGATCAGAATTAGATATTAACACCGTCGGATAAAAGACTAAGAGTCCAGATCGAAGGTCCTGGGTTCGAATCCTGTGAGGAGCAGGAGTCATAGATGCGCATTATTGATGAATTCCATACCAGGACGAAACGAACGTCCAGTGCTTCCAGATTTCTTCTAATCGTGGTTTAACATCGATCGATTCATGATTTCAACGTGTAAAAACACTGGTCTCCGATAACTTTAATTGAAAAATATTTTATCCAGCATCTTAGAAATGATGAACTTTTATCAGTTAGAGAATTATCACATTGGAAAAATATATAACATGCTATCCACTTATAGACCTTATGATAATACTGTAGCTAACATACGCAACACATGGTTGGGACATGTGTTGCGTATGCCCAACCACCGACTGCCTCGTCGAGCTATGTTTTGTAGTGTAGGAGTAGGTTGGAAGAAAGTTAGGGGTGGCCAAACCAAAACATGGCAGAAATCCATGAAGTCATTGACTAGTGGACTTAGCCATGTCGGTAATTGTCGACTACCTGGTTAGGGTCCGCGAGATGATAATAATCGATGGTTAGAGACCTTGAATGACATGGCTCAAAATCGTTCGCAATGGCGCCGGTGCATTTATTCTTTGTGATCTCTCAAATGCTAATCTTCTGGATTCTTCAACAACTCTAGTTTTGACTTTCTAAACTTATCTCATTCAATCATACTTCTTGAATAATAACTTCTCATCCTAACCTCTCCGATTACTTCTAATACCCTTACTACCTCTTCTACTATTGGATTTGAGTTGGCAATTACATCTTTGTGCTAATGTGGTATGGCAACATGAACTGATGTACTTACGTACGAAGTTCTACGTTGCATCTGACTGACTGAACATTATCGAAATGAGATAAAATTGGTCAACGAAAAAAAAACAACACAATTTGGTGATATCACAGTTTTTCAATGTGTTGTGTGAATAAAATAAATACCACTGAAATACTGAATTTTTATTTTTTTAAAAAAGAAAAAGCTGAGTATTAAAAATTGACTAGATTTTTGCTCTCATCTATCACAAACTTTAAGTCTATAAAATTCGACTTGAAAACAAAAACTTTCACTCTATATGATAGCTAAGAGCTAGCTGACTAGTGTTAAAAGTTCAAACAGAAAGAGAAAATAAATTTTAAAACAATTAGTCCCCCCCTTTATAAATTTTGATAGAACAGAGAGAAGACGTAATTGATCTGAAAAATGTTGTGATGTATTTGCGCTATACATTTGGAGAAAAGAGATCAGGATTACAAAGAGAAGTGAAATTATTTGGTTGAAAGTCGTGTGTCTTAACAATGATTATATAATATTTAATCGTGTCTAAAAAATATGTTAAAATGACCGTAGGACGACAGTTCAATGAAACAGTTCGATTTTACAATACTTCGTTCCTTCTTTCTTGAATATAAATTGAAAATCCGGTTCATCTGTGTGCTAATGTGTGTGGTATGGCAAGTTGTACATACGTACATACGTAAGTACGTACGTACGCAGTTCTACGTTGTAGCTGACTGACCGACCGACTGACTGACTGACGATCAACAACAATCAATTAGTACTTTTTTTAGATATTTTTTTTACTCAATCAAAAAAAACTAAACAACTTGAAGAATGTGAACTAACTAACTAACTCAAAACACTAGGTGGAATAAATCCTCGATGCAAAAACACTGATTAATTTTATTTGACAAAAAATCGAAACCGTTGTAGTGGAGAAGAATAATGCAACCACTGGATTGACTTACAGATAATTATTAGTAGTATTAGAAGTAGTAGCAGTAGTAGTAGTGTAGTGAAGGAGAACACAGGTGAGGGCAACCGAATTGTATTTAACGAAAATTACAGAGTTACTCAGTAAAATAGGAATACCATATCCTGAACCGTTAATTTGCAAATCTTCAATCCGTCATCAATCCATTGTCTGACATTTCACTTATTCATACGTTTCATACAAATTCCATTATGTTCTAACTCTTCCTCCTTTCTTGATCTTCCCCCATCTTCTGCTGCCAGACATTACGTTGACACTCACGTCATATACTACTTATAAGTAGCGCGCACCACAGTAGTAGTATTACCGATATTTTTATTTTATCACTAACAGATGACTGTATTGTTATATATATATATATATATATATATATATATATATATATATATATATATATATTGCCTTAAATGTAGGCTTCCAGCAGACCTATTAACTCAGTCAGTCAGACACAACATAGAACTTCATATCTACGTACATCAGTTCAAGTTGCCATATAATACCATCACATTAACACACACACACACATACACAGAAAGAGATCGAATACCTACTAGCTATTGTTATACATTTGACTAATCCTTAATGGCTGATAGCTAATGATGTTGTGTATGCTTAGTTCATCAATTGTCATTTATGATTTATTGATTGTATACAATGTATGTATGTATGTGCGTTGCGACCCGATAATTTATGTATTTGAGATATATATGCTGAGTAATTGAAATATCATCATATTAGGGAGTTTAGCTTCTAAATAAATTTTTTTTTCAATATAGGAACGTATTATTGGGCAATGACAAATCGAACAAGTGATATCGACTAACAGTTTAGAAAATGATATTCACTAGAAGAAAGTGGCGATTGCTTAACTTATAAATAATAAATTGCAGTAGATGTTAACCATGTCTATGGCGAAAGTACACAAAGTGTAATTCAAACCCAAGTTGGTCAGTGTAGACTCCCGGGTTGGGGCCCGCGAGATGATTCATTCACTAAATTCTACTTCTTGAATAATATCGCCGAATCTTAATCTCTCCGATTAATGCTAATAATACTTCTACTACCTACCTCTATTACTATGGGATTTGAAGTGACGATGGAATATCTGTGCTAATGTGGCTATGGCAACCTGAATTGATGTACGTACGTACGTCTAAGTTGTGTACCTGACTAATCGACTAAATTCAATCGACCAGTATTGTCGAAGTTTTTCTACTTGTGAACCCCCTCCCCAAAGTGGTTGTTGGTACACCGACAAAACAACCCTAACCCAATATCAAATAATTTTCTGTTTGCTTTTGTAATTAAAAAAAAATCAATAAAACGAAATCATTGAACTTACGCAGTTCATCACAATCGATTAACATGGAAGAGGATTGTTGATTTTTATTATCCAATTGTACCATAACAACATCATCGTCATCATCATCTTCGTCAGCATTATTATTATTGTTATTATTAGTTGTTGGTGTTGGTGTTGTTGTTTTCAAACCAGAATCCATGATTAAGCGAGAATGAGTTACAGATGTAAAATTATCTGTGCTAAATGCTTTAGGCCCAAGATATTGTCGAACAATTTGACGTACTTGACGAGCAAAACTTTCACGTACAACAATATTTGATGATACATTATTAGAAGGAGGAGGATGAGATGAAGAGTGAAGATTTGTAGCACCTGCAAGAGTAGCAGTAGCAGGAGTAGTAGGAATTGATGTTACATTTGTGGATCTGGAGATTTCTGTATCAATTTTAGTTAGTTTATTCATTTCTTGCCATATTTGACGAATTTCTTGTATTGCTTGCGGTGGTAAAAGATGTTGTAACATTAAAATTCTGATGAAAAATAAATAATCAAGAAATACAAAGCATGTTATTTATGATTCTCATTTAACAAACAATTTTCATATTGTAAGATATTTTACTTAAACACATGTATGCATCAATCAAGGTGGATCCGATGCAGATGTGAGGGCACGGATTGGCAAAGCAAGGGCTGCATTTATACAGTTGAAAAATATCTGCAACTACAAATAACTTTCAATCAACACCAAAATCACGATTTTCAATACAAATGTCAAGACAGTTCTACTTTATGGAACGGAAACTTGGAGAACTACGAATGCCATCATCCAGAAGATACAAGTGTTTATTACCAGTTGTCTACGCAAAATACTTCGGATTCGTTGGCCAGACACCATCAGCAACAATGTACTGTGGGAGAGATCAAACCATATTCTAGTGGAGGAGGAAATTAGGAAGAAGCAGTGGAAGTGGATAGGACACATACTGCGAAAAGCACCCAACCGCGTCACAAGGCAAGCCCTCACATGGAACCCTCAATGCAAAAGGAAAAGAGGAAGGCCAAGGAACACATTACGCCGAGAAATAGAGAAAGATATGAGAGGAATGAACAAACATTGGACAGAACTGGAGAGAGAAGCCCAGGACAGAGTTGGTTGGAGAAAACTGGTGAGCGGCCTATGCTCCATTGGGGGTAACAGGCGTAAGTAAGTAAGTAAGTAATATGTATGCATAACACAAATTATTGACTTTTTGAGTAGGCTGATATACTTTCCTCAACCATCCAGATCAAAGTAGAGGTGATTTCCCTATGGCAACCCCACACTTCAAGTCTAATATATCTATAAGGCGATGGAGTAATGTCAAGAGAAGCAGTATCATGGTAACTAGTGACCAATGATAGTTCTATAAGCTATTCGTTTTCTGAGGATTCTAGGCTACATACATGTACACTACTGGCTTTTATGGATCTTCCGAAAGAACCATTTCTTTCGGTTTATTAAGCCACAGTCGCACATTCAGTGTTCATGAAATACAGGCTGGCAGTGAGTAGAACTTTCCTGAACTCTGAAACTCTCGATTGTATGTAACAGGGCATTTAAGGCAGGTAAAGGTATGTGGAAATAATATGAAACTAATATATTTGTTCGTAAAAGCTTAATAACATGAGATCTTCCTAGCATAACTCTTATTGTTAGATATGTACTGAAGATTCACAACTTCATCTATTGATTTTCTACTCGTTACCTAACAATTGCACTGATCATTCGGTGTGGTCGCAGGATATACGAGCAATGCTCGGATGGAATATTAGTAACCTACGAATATCCTCTACACACACAAGATGCAATAGACAGTGATGATATGAAATGAAAGTATTGTAGATTATGACATTCGACCCAAGCATTGTTTGAAAATCAATGCCTAGTATAAACAGATATCATCTGTGATTATAGGGGATTCAGCACGAGTACACATCGGTTGAAATTGTCATATCACATCATATCAGCAAAACAGCAAAACAACGACACGGAACAAGTATAGAATGTCAGAAAAAAAAAATAGTAAAAACGATTGAAAAATTGAAAACAAAAACCATGAGAAATTTTCGAAAAGCAACAGATGAAATCGATATGTGTAGTTATAGCAATGATACTTTACTCAGAATTCGATAGAATACAATGAATAAATGCATTTGTGCATCGCTGTGACTTATTTTCCGTCCCCTCCCCCCTCCGGTTTATATACGACGCATTGAATAGACTTACATTCCTTATCTAGCTAGTTAGGCAGTATACGCCTAAATGTGTGTCTATGTTACAGGACCTGTCGTAGTGTGAAAATGTGGCCTATACAGCCAAATCCAGGTCTGAAACCAGCCTGGTTTTCTCTAGTCTACTCTTCACGAGCTTTAATCAGGCGTCAGAGTATTATCGTGGCTAATAATTTAGACAATATATTAGTTAAGTGAATAATAATGCTTACAGAGCTAAAGAGGTATATTTTACTTGATGCACATAGGTGACAAAAATCTTATCAGTAAAGTACATCTACTAACATAAAAGCCATGAGAATTATTGGGAAAACTGATCAGTTAAATGTTCGTATTAGTACTACTTCTATTACTACATATGTTAAGAGGTGTAAGAAGAATTTTGCTGTGACCAATTTGGTCTCGTGTGCTGCTACGAGTATGAGGGCAGATGTCACTTCCTGGCTATCTACACCACGGAAGGGTGTTTCTTGAGGAGCCTGAAAACGATTAGGAATGGTCTTAGAGACCTGGGAGTGTGACCGCAGAAACCAAGGGACAACTGCTAGATGCCCGTCACACACGACCTTGTCACGGCATGTTTCGGATGTATTAGCACTGCTCATCACCAACCAATCAGAAAATTCAAGGGAAAACATAGGATCAAGAAACAGGTGAAAGGGGGAAAAAATCAAAATAAAGTTGCACACAACGACAAGTTCAGGCTCAATAACAACCAGTCAAGATCGACGTTAACAGAGTAAGCTACGGGTCAAAAGCAAAGGAATTCGAATACTTCACTTTCATTTGAAGTTTTTGCTGATGATGTTAATATTCAGAAGAAAGATGAAAGCTCCAAAACCAAAACATCCAGCTCAGAGAACGAAACTCCACCTTACCGCCGGAAAAGGAAATCCGTGCAATGAGATGACATTCGAAATTTTCAGAGTTAACCTTTTCTAGCCCCTCCTTTCCTTGTGACAAGTCAGCATCGTTACAGATGCTTGTTGTCAGAGGGAAACAGTTTACTAGGGTCAGTATTTCGACTTCGCCTTTAGACCTTGAGTTCAACGTTGTAGATTAAGTAAAAATGAAATTACATGTTTTTTTCCTTATTCTTGAATGGTACTCATTTCCATGGAATAGGCATACAGTCAGTTAGTTCAATTTCTACAGATAACAAGTACACAATTAAAATAACTGGTTAAACTTGTTAAACATGAAAGATGTTGCAAAAACACATTAGGGCGCACACACATCAGTTCAAGTTGCCATACCAAGATAGCATAGAGACGAAGGAAGATCAAAAGGGACAAATTACGCCGAGAATAAAAATTAAACAGAACTGGGAAAGGATAGAATAGGTTCGAAGAATATTGGGAGGCGGCGTATGCTCCACTGGGGGGGAGGTAGTAACAGGTGTAAGCTAGTACAGTAAATAAGTATAGATAGATAGAAATAGATAGAAATATAATTATGACGTGAGATGATTTCTATGAATGCACACTGAATAAAAAAAATAAAGTAGAAAATCTTCTACAAAACAGAATAACACAATAAACCAGAAAGTATTATTGACCCAAATAACACGGATAAATCAAAGGAATAAACACACATAGAGAGAGAGAGAGAACTTCATTTTGTTTTGTTAGATATACAAGTACGAAGAAAAATGTTGTCAATTACATAAACGATAGTAATTACGCTGAAAAAGATTGACGTATATTAATATCAGGAGCAGAATACTGAAAATTAATAATAATAAACTGAAAAAAGAATTACGTATACGGTATTGTAAAAATAAAGTTTGTAAAACAAATATTTCATGATCAAATTTAAGTATAGGTTTGTTTGTGCACCGCGCATACTTTAATGTATTATGTGAGAGTTTGTAGGTTCACTGGACAACTGAACTGAGTCATTATGTTATAACTAGGTGTAGACTAGCTAGCTGATTGAGGTTCGTTCTCGTAGCATCAATAATCGAAGGTTAGATACTTTGAACGATATGGCTCAAAATCGTTTGCAATGACACAGATACAGTTATTCATTGCGTCCTCTCAAATTCTAACCTTCTGAACTGCTCATCACCTTTACCTTTCTCTTTTTAGATTTGCCTCACTGGATTATACTTCTTGAATGATCACTAATCTACTTGATTACAGCTAATACTTATATTAATTAGCTCTACTACTATAGGATTTGAATCGACAATTCGATCTCTCTGTGCTAATGTGGTATTGCAACTCGAACTGATGTTCTAAGTTCCCAGATGCATTGGAACGGTCGATAGAGAGAAAGACCGCTTCCTCTATTAAAATAATCTCATTTAGTTACTGACAAGAAAGTCCTACTAATCCGCATTCTCACTACCGGAGTGTTGTTTATCAAACCAAATGTTTGGTTAGGACTCAAACTGAGTTATTGAGTACATGGGATCCATCTAGTATAGTTGAAAAACCCTGGTTCGACACCGCTGCGGAGGATAAACAGAGTATGGGTCTGTCGTTGGTCACCAGACGTTGCGCCACTGCATTGTGCATCAGATTTTTAGGTCAAGGTCTCAAGGAGTAGCCTCGTAAGAAAACCATGTTTTTCGGTCTAGGTCGCTTGGAGAGGATCCCAGTCCATACACAAATTCATTGATTCGTGTTGTGCATCAATATCTAGGTACTTTTGTGTATCGACTAGTATGCAGTTAAATAAACAAATCCTAGAATAAGATTGACTTAGAAAAATAGTAGTTCAGATGAATGTTTTTGATAATGTTGAATTATGTGAGTTGAATAGTTTCTGGTTTGATTATGAAGCTTCTGCTATTGTTCCAGACAACGATAACAGACCTTACACTCTGTAACATTGGAACATGACTAAAAATTGCTCATATAGTACGGTATTAGTTTTTGACATCTACCGTTAATAATTTTGATTATTTTCTGAAGTGAACTATCAGTCAGTCAGTCAGTCAGTTACGACGTAAAACATCGTACGTACGTGAGTGCAGGTTGCCAAACAGCTAGATGGAAGTACTTGAATTTCAACCATTGGCACAGCCGGATAAATATTACATAGAATTAACTATAGAACCAACAGTTGAATTCATCACCGGTTGAATTCGATTTGCTAACATTGTATACACACTAATTTGAAATTACCATAAACATAGAACACGACAAAATCATACGCTTCACATCATTCAATCATCTTCATCATTTATAATGGATGTGTTGATGATAAGGAATGTATGTAGTTTTGCGCGCACACGCACGCACGCACGACTACGCTCTTTTCACAATAGCCTTTTACTTATTTAACCGGATAATTTCACTAGACTCGCTGTCTTTCTCTCTCTCTCTCTCTCTCTCCCGCCCTACGTATGTTGTCCTATCCTATCCTATTCTATCCTATCTATGTATCTACCTATCGATCAATTGCATTTATCCAATAAAAAATAAGTACATAAATAAACTAATATATCCATCGAAAAGGCCTAGTAAACAAACGCCATTCACTGATCCGTAAAGTATAGATATATCACGTGATTACTAGTCACGTGATGATTGTACTATCGCATTGAATTCAGAAAGATGATTGCCAGAATCAACCAATGGACAAACAGAATTTAAAACAATAAAACTAAGCAAATAAATAACTGAATAAGAATGAATGAATGAACAAAGCGTAATTTGCAACATAAATACGGCCCTGGCTTAAACATATTATATCAAAGTTACATATGTACAACATACACCATACAAATAATATAAATATATATAATTTCATTAAAATTAATATTGAACAAGCCTCCTCCTTCCTCTCTTTACTCTTTCTATTTATCATTCATATACATATATTGGCAACATGTAACGAAATTAGGGCAAGCCCATTTTAAACTGTCAATGTGTCCTCATAGTGAAAAAATTGTTGTATACTAATATCAATAAAGATCAGTAATCATAGTGTACAAGTTCATATCTGTCCCAGGAGCGTTATTAATGAAACTATACTGAGACTATGGGGATTAGTGTAATCAATTATAAAAAGAAATATCTAAACATAGTTAACAAAGTAATAATACATATTTGTGAAGATTATTGATGGCTTTTCATTGAAATGATGAGTTGATGATCATTGTTAGACCAGCCCATTTATGCTTTTCTTTTTCAATTTATTTCACTAGATTCTTCTACTTCTTGAATAAACTCGTTAAAGAACACTAATCTCTCCGATTTTCGCTAATACTTCTTTCTACTACCTCTGCTACTACTACTACGACTACTACTATGGGATTTGAAGTGACAATTGCATCTCTCTGCGTGTGCTAATGTGCTTACGGCAACCTGAACTGATGTGCATGCGTACGTCAGTCAGTCAGTCAGTTGCAACGTAGAACTTCGTACGTATGTACATCAGTTCATGTTGCCATACCACATCAGCACAGTGACACAAATGTCAAATCAAATCCCATAGTGATAGAGATGGTAGAGGTATTAATGGTAATGCAGAAGACTAGGGTTTGAAGATATTATTCAAGAAATATAATTCAGTGAGATAAGGTTAGAAAGACAAAGGTGGAGGTGCTGACGAATCCAGAAGATTAGGATTTGAGAGAGCTGAACAAATGGATGCACTTGTGCCATCGCAAACGATTTTGAGCCATGTCGATCAAGGTCTCTAACCATTGGTGACTTTCGTCTCACGGACCCCAACCAGGTAGTCCACATCTACCAACATGACTCAGTTCACTTGTCAGTGACTTGATGGATTTCTGCCATGTTTTGGTTTGGCCGCCCCTAACTTCCTTCCAACCTACGACTACACCACAAAACATAGATCATCGAGGCAGTCGGTGGTTAGGCATTCGTTACACATGTCCCAACCACCTCAACTGATGAAGTTTCAATGCTTCATCTATTGATCTGCCATCTATACCTAGCACCCGTTTCCTAACGACAGCATTGCTTACTCGGTAGTCCCACGATATACGAGCAATGCTTCTTAAACATCTATGATCGAATACTAGTAACCTACGAACATCTTCTATTCTTAACGGGCATGTTTCGCATCCATATAGGAGAACGGAGCGAACTGATGCACAGTACACCCGTCCTTTGGTCAGCGAACGGATATTTCGCCTGCGCCATAAGTGGCGTAGATTGGCAAAAGCCAATCGAGCCTTCTGTATCCGAGCTGAGATTTCGTCAGTCACCAGGCCATTGGCACTGATGAGACTCCCCAGATAAGTGAAGCGATCAACACGTTCGACAACAACATGCGTACGTACGAAGTTCTACGTTGTAACTGACTGACTGACTGAGACCAGTATTAGAAACCTAAAAGCACTGAAAGGCTGTTTCTGACTTGTAGGGGACACGTTTCAAACTAACTAACTTTATTGATGATGGTATGTAATCAACAAAAAAATGGTTGCAATACAATAAAAACAAGGCACAACCATCTGTTAGGATTAGGCTTTATACATAGAGAAGCACAATTCGTGTATTTTCGAATTCAAGAAAAATTATAAGTAATGAAACCACTGAATATCCATCCTAATTATGTTCATCCCAGATGAGCTCATGCCTGTTATTCCCCCCCCCGCGAATCATAGGCCATCGAACAAAATTTTTCGACCTACTTTGTTCTCCCCCCACTTTCCTTCCCAGTTGTTCCAAAGTGTTATTTATCTTTTTGATGTTTACCTTCAATTCTCGGCACAACATGCTCTATGGTCTTCCCTCTTTCCCTCTGACCTTGAACAGAATTACAATTTAGGGATAGCCTCAGGATACAATTGGATGATTTCTGCAAACCGTATCCTATTCACCTCTAGTGATCTTTACGAATTCTTCTTCATCATTTGGAATCGGGTTTGTTTTCGCCCACACATTAGACTGCTGTTTTATGGTGTCTGGTCAACGGATCACCAGTATCTTGAGTAGACAACTGTGGGTGATAGCCCTGGTAGTTCACCAAGTTTCCGCTCGACACAACTGAAGTGTCTTGATGTTCGCATTCAAAATTCTAACAATGGTGTTAGTTGATCGTTGTTTTAAGTTCCAGATGTTCTTTACTTGTAGAAACATTGCTCATGCTTGCTACTCTGTGTGTTCACATCTGCATTACAGACAACTTGTTTGCCAGTGTTGCTGACCATATACTAATATGCATGTACACTCAATGATTATAAATAGATATGGGCAGGTTTAAATCACCAGTGATGAAAAACCATCAACGACTTAGATAGTCGAACCAATTATAAACACAAAATCGACAAACAGCAAAGTCTCAATTTTGAAAACGAAAATGTGAAGAGAGTTCTACTATATGCGGCGGAAAGATGGAGAACTACGAAAAGCATCATTTGGTGTTACGTATGCACGTAAACATGTCAATTTGATATGCTTGAACTATTACGAGTTTACCTTAGTCGGAAAACGAGAGCGAGGATCGAGGATCTGGCGACACGATAGGCCACTCTAATCCAAGTGTCCCAACCCACATTGAATAAAAGAAGAAGACTTGATATGAAGTAGAACATGTATTCTACAAACATCCAAAAAGTACGAGGTCCGAATCCAGAAGAGAATCAGGATCCCGGACGAAAGAAACGGGTCCGGGTTATAAAACATTACAGATAATGCGTAATTATACAGTTAGATCCAGTCGGAAACAGCATCGAAGTTTGTGACATTGCCAGTTAGGACGACCAATAAGAGACAACATTTGAAGTGACATTGACGGCCATATTATTGGCCAATAAGAATCGACCGAAAGAATTTACACTTACGAAATGATTTTTCGTAGGATATTTGGTGAACATCCAAACATCCGGACGATACAACTGTTTATTAACAGTTGTTTACACAAAATATTTCGGATTTGTTGACCAAACACCATCAGCAACAACCTTCTATGGCAGAAAACAAACCAGATCGAAACTGAAGAAAAATTTAGGAAAAAAGGTAGGAGGTGGGTACGACATGCACTGCAGAAAAAGTATCCAACTGCGTCACAAGACAAGCTCTCACTTGGAATCATCACGTTCAAACACAAACGAGAAATAATCAAAGAACACACACTACGTCGAGAATCAGAGACAAGCATGAGAACGAATGAAAAGTAATTGGACAGGACTGAAAAACAAAGCCTAAGAGACAGAGTAGGCTCGGGAATGTTAGTCGGTGACCTATGCTCCTCATCAGGGATAACATGTATAAAAAGAAAGAGTAAACAAACAGTTAACATGATGAAAAGGGGTATTAATCATTTATCAATTAAAGTGAGGGATTTTTTTTAGAAAAAAAAAGAGGGAGAACATAGAGAAAAAATAGATAGACACGAGATGGGGAGGAGAACATTTTCAAAAAAAAACGCGACACCGTAAAATTGAAAGTCAAATCTACTGACCTTAAAAATGTAAACAAAAAGAGAGATGAATAGTTCAAAACAATTAGTGAATGGTAAGAGAATCAAATAATAATAATAATAATACGTGTTAGACATAATATTGATATTGATATTGACTGTGTTAGAAAGAGAAAACTACATGTTACGCGAATAGTTTAGCATCGTATTTTTTTGGACACATACTTTTTTTACTTTAGAAATAAAATGACTTACTTATCAAACTCACTAAAAGTAACGAAATAAAAAACATTTTTTCATAGAATGACGGGTGAAGGAGTTACAGAAAGAAAAAAAAGGTCAACCTTAAAAAATACCACACTTTATTATCTTATGCTCTTTCAAAGAGTGAGTTTAACTGACACATCAAACGACCGAGTAGTTGTTCTTTGAACTCTGTAGTCACTAAGACTAATGCTACTGTAATGTCCTTTTTCAGATACATCAAGAAATACCCTTACAGACGGGAAGTGACAACCACCTCTGCATACTGTGAACAGCGCGCACAAGATTAAAAGAAAGTCAAACACACACACACACACACATTACAAATGTACATTTTCACATTGTATCACTGTCAAAAATAACCTACCGTCTATCGTATTGATTTTTATTCAATGATCTTTGTTTTACACTGCAACTATCATTCTGACGATCTGTATGCATTGATTGACCATGGACAGTATCATTTTTTGTTGATGGATTATGAAAACTTTCAACAGTTGAAGGATTATCTGTAAGTGTGAAGTAATAGAAAAAAAACGCGAATCACGTCAAATCAGTTATGATTAATTAGAACTTACAAAATATAATGAACAAAACTGAAATATGATATCGTTTATTCTGTACAAAGTAATTTATTTGTTAGTCAAAATAACCAGCCTCCAAATTGGATATGCTGAACATCTATCTTCGTTGTGACAGCTCAAAAGAGATTGATACATTAATGAGATCATGAATCGATCAATGTTAGATCAACAATAAGAAACCTAGAACAACTGAGCAGCCCTTTCGTTCTAATATGGGACTACTCATCTATGAATTACTCTCCTTGATCAGCAAAACCGTACTTCTTTCAGGGTTCCTCGAAAATTTATGTGATTGTACATAAAAGTAGTGTAAAAAAGGCTTTGCTCGATATATATTAAAAAACAATAGAATACAAATGTTGATAAGAGAGTGGTGAAAGATAAAAAGTAAGAATTGTTAAAAGTTTTTTTTTTAAAAAAAATATTGCATTTAATCAATATCATTAAAACAGAATACACATGGCAACAACAAGCATTTAACTAATTCATGTTGCTATGGCGAAAAAAACTTTGAATGCTTGATAAGATGAAATATTCGACCGTTTAAGTCAATGAGTAGAAGAATGTTAATGTGAACGGATATGTAATTCATTATGTATGTATGACACAGTGAAGGCTATTCACGAGACTTGATATTAACGTCCGTCAAATTATTTTTGAAATTAAGGATAAGACGACTAATTAACTAGATAAATGAATTTTTACGTAATAAAAAAACAACATGGTTTTATATTACAGAATCAGAACGTAAGAATAAATATGATAAAAATGTCACGGATGATTGTAAGTCACTTATTATTCTCTGAAAACAAGTAAAGCCTCACTGTTAGGCCTAATCTTTGGGCCTTGTATTACGTACACATAATTCCAACCCCCCCCCCTAAATCCAAGTTGTTACGACCTGGATTGAAATGAAAGGTGTACGGAGAATTTGATTGTGGCTAATTTGGTCTTGTGTACTGTTTCGAGTATGAGAGTGGGTGTTACTTCCCAGCTGCTCACACCGATGAAGGGTAATTTTTGAGGAACGTGAAAAGGAAGTTGAATTCGTGTTGGTTTTAGCGACCTGAGAGCGTGACCGCAGAGCCCAAGCGCACGGCACTTTTACAGGATGTTTCGAAAGTGTTAACTCCACTGTTTGAAAGGCTTCACAGTAGGAGACGGAAATTCGTGGGGTACGGTGAGGTGACACATTTTTAGGGTCGACCTCTTCCTTCCTTATGAGAAGGGAGCATCGCAGCAGATGCTGGTTGTCCGAGGGAAACACTAACGCTGGAACACCAATCTACAATCAACAGTACGACTTCATCCTGAGACCTCAGCTTTTGTTACCCTGCATCATTTATGGCGTAGGCTAGATATCCGCCTACTAACCAAAGGACGAGTCCACTAATGTGCAGCAGTTCGCTCCGTCTTTCTTTATATCTGTGAAACATAGCCAGTAAGAATTGCGAATATTCCTAGATTACTACTATTCGATCACAGGTGTCTTCGAAGCATTACTCCTATATCTTGGGACAACCGACTAAGCAATGCTGTCGTTAGGAAATGAGTACTAGGTCAAGATGACAGGTCAATAGATGAGGTATTGAAACTTCATCAGTTGAGGTGGTTGGGATATGTGTTACGAATGCCTAACCACCGACTGCCTCGCCAGGCTATGTTTAAAACACGGTACGAATCCATGAAGCCACTGACAAGTGGACTGAGTCATGTTGGTAGATGTAGGCTACCTGGTTGGGGTCCGCGAGACGATCGTAACCGATGGTTAGAGATCTTGAATAACATGGCTCAAAATCGTTTGCAATGGCGCTGTGTGTGTACTCTGTGTTTTCTCAAATTCACTGAATTCCGGATTTCTTATGTCCCTTTTTAAACTTATTTCATTGTGGTGATATACTTCTCGAAACAAATCTTCGATACGTTATCCTTGTTGATCACCACCACTAATACTTCTACTACTACTAGCTCTACCACAATGGGATTCGAATTGACAACTCCATCTCTATTTCACTGGATTATACTTCTTCAATAATATCTTCGTGATCTCTCCAATAATTACTGTTCGTACTTCTACTACTATCTATACCATTAAGAGATTTGAATTGAAAATTGCATCTTTGCGCTGATATGTTACAGCAACCTGAACTGATGAATGTATATGCACTAAATTCTATGTTGTCGCTCACTGACTGACTCATTGAAATCAACGAATATAATATTGTAGTGAACGAGAACACAGGTGGGGCAACCGGACTGTATTTAACGAAAATTACAGAGTTACTCAGTAAAATCGGAAAACCATATCGTAAAACGTTAATTTGCAAAATATCAGTCCATCATCATATCGAACTGGACTGTTCCGGTTACAAAACATCAATCCATTTTCACTATTCATGCATTTCATGCACAAATCCATTGTGCCCTAACTCTTCCTTTCTTGATTTTTCCCCATCTTCTGCTGCCAGACATTCCGTTGACACTCACGTCATATACTACTTATAAGTAGCTTACACCACAATATGACATTGATAATATAAAATAGCGTGCAATTAACTTTCATCCGTTTTGTTTTTTCTTTTTGAACAGATAACATAAAATGATACGATTATATTACATAATTTTTAACGTCGAAAGCGTGCATAGAGAGAGAGAATTAAAAAATAAAAAGAAACACCTACCATCATTAGAACTCTGTTTACCCGAGTTAATAATTTCATTGTTCTGACGTAATAAGCGAGAATGATCAGTTGAATAAATACTAGTACAGTTATTATTATTATTATTATCACTATCACTATTATTATTTCTATTGTAATGATAAGTATTTGAATGACTATGAAATTCGTCATTACAATTCGAGGGTACAAATGTTGTTGTATCACCATGTTCATATACTACTGAATCACTACTTAAATCCGATAGTAATGAATTGCTATTATTATTATTATTATTATTATTATTATCACAGAATGTTCCAATCATATTAACATTTTCATATGGCATTGTAGTAGACGAATGTTCTGAATGAGATTGTGACTTTGATCTATTCAAACCAAGAACCGATGAATTAGATTTCATAATGGAAGATGATGCTGATGATGACGACGATGAAGATGTAGGTACAAACTCGGTTAGCGTTGATTTATCGTTCTGATGAGAAGAACAAGGATGATAATTCACATGGTGTAAATGTTCTCCAGTATGAATAAGTGGATGATGATGATGGTGATGGTGAAGATGATGATGATGATGAGGATGTGATGGATCTAAGAGGTGAGAAGGTTGACATTCATCATGATTTGTAATTGTTCGACAAGATAATGACGGGTAATTCATTGAATCGTTATGATGAACAACAATTGAATCACAACAATCAACATTATCTACATTGATGTTTCGTTGATCCTAAGCAAATGATACAGAGGAAAAATAATGTAAAGTAAATGAAATATTAGTTAGATTCATGAAAATTATAGAAAGTTGTTTTTAGGTGTGCATCAATCAGCCAGTGAGTAACAAGCTATGCAGAGGAGTCTAGCGCATATATGTCTCCTGAGCAAGATACCAAACAAAGATGATCTCAGCATGTGTGAAAACTACAAGTGCATCACTCTACTCTCAATGCCAGGAAAATTCTTCAGCAGGGTATTATTAAACAGAATGAAGGACTCCGTAGATACTCAACTTCGAGATCAACAGACTGGATTCCGTAAGAACAACAATATGGGGCTACTTAGACAATGCGGAGTGCCTGAGAAAATAGTTAACATCATACGGAATTCTTACCATGGATTAAACTACAAAATCGTGCACGGAGGACAGCTGACAGATTCATTCGAGGTGAAGATCGGTGTCAGACAAGGTTGCTTACTCTCATGCCTTATCTTTTTCCTGGTGATCGACTGGATTATGAAGACGTCAACATTTCAGGGGAAGCATCGAATACAGTGGACAACCAGGATGCAGCTGGAGGATCTAAACTTTGCGAATAATCTGGCTCTTCTATCGCACACGCAACAAATAATGCAAGAGAAGACGACCAATGTAGCAGCAGCAGGTCTCAATATACAGTATAATTATCATCTCGCGGACCCCAACCAGGTAGTCGACACTTACCAACATTATTCAGTTCACTTGTCAGTGACTTCATGGATTTCTGCCATGTTTTGGTTCGGCCGCCCCTAGCTTTCGTCCAACCTATTCCTACACCGCAAAATATAGCTCTTCGCGGCAGTCGGTGGTTAGGCATACGTAACACATTTCCCAACCACCTCAACTGATAAAGTTTCACTACTTCATCTATTGATTTGCCATCCTTACCTAGAACTCGTTTCCTAACGATAGCATTGCTTACTCGGTTGTCCCAGGATACATGAACAATGCTTCGAAGACACCGATGATCGAAGACTAGTAACCTACGAATATCTTCTACTCTTACCGTCCATGTTTCACATCCATATAGTAGGACGGAGCGAACAGCTGCACAGTAGACTCGTCTTTTGGTTAGCAAACGAATATCTCGCCTACGCCATAAGTGACGCAGGTTGGCAAAAGCCGATCGAGCCTTCTGTATCCGTGCTGAGATTTCGTCAGTCACCAAGACATTAGCACTGATGAGAGACTCCCAAGATAAGTGAAGCGGTCTACACGCTCGACCACTTCACTCCCTATTACTAATTCACATGATATTCTGCATAACACATTTGTTGTTTGTACAAGGCAGAAAACAGAAACACAAACACCAACACATAAATACTTACATGCATATGTCTATGTGATGTATCAGCAGACTCGGTAGATTGCTCTCCGAAAGAATTGTCATGAGGAAAATGAGAAATGATTACCGATTGAGGTGAATCATGAGAAGTTATATTATCCGGTGGATGATGATGATGATGATGACGGACATAATGATGATGATGGTGATGATCATGATGACGATGATTAGGATTTGACAATGGATTATTGTTAATAGTTGATGTTAGTGTGGTTGTTGCATCATCAATCTCACTAGGATGATGGTGATGATGATGTGTAAGGTGAACATGATGATGATGATGATGAGGTAATAATACACGAGAGGATGATGGCGATGAAGTCAACTTGAAGACTAATGTCCGTTCACCACTACTATCACCAGCAGCAGCAGCAGCAACAGATGTATCCGGTGAATTGGTATGTGAAAGACAAGTATTACTACTGGAAACAGAAAGATTTTTATTATCACTACTGGACAATTCACCAATTCGATGATTGTTATCTATAGTAGATGTGACTAAATGTGACAATGTCGGTTCTTCACATGTAGATGAATGAGAATTAGGACAATCTGTTCCGATTGAATTCATAGACACAGTACACTGTGCTATATTGGAACCAGTCGATTCTACACTCTGATCATACTCACTAAAAGAAAATGGTGAATAGAAAACAACAACATTAGGCATGAATATATTTTCTTAAAATATATCATAACAAGAGATACGAATCGATCAATCATAATGATAATTAGAAAAACAGAAAAACTAAACACTTAGATCACATAGTTTGAAAAGACAGAATGAAGATGATGTGTATTGGAAGGAATGCAGATTAGAAATCAAGATGTAGAAGAAAATAAAACCTCGATTATAGATGTCTTCGAAGCATTGCTCGTATATCCTAGGACAAACGAGTATGCAATGTCGGGGTTAGGAAACGAGTACTAGGTAGGAATGACAAATCAATACCTGAAGTATTGAAACTTCATCAGTTGAGGTGGTTGCAACATGTGTTACGTATGCCCAACAACCGACTGCCTCGACGAGCTATGTTTAGTGGAGTAGGAGTAGGTTGAAAGAATGCTAGGGGCGGCCAAACCAAAACATGGTAGAAATCCATGAAGTCACTGACAAGTGAACTGAATAATGTTGGTATGTGTCGACTACCTCGTTGGGGTCCGCGAGACGATAGTAACCGATGGTTAGAGACCTTGAACGACATGGTTCAAAATCCCCACTTCAACCAAGTGGTTTGCCTTTATCGATGTGGTTCACTTCCAAAAGTTAGTGAATAATTCCTGCACAATACCATGTTCTTGGTTTGACTACATTACAACCGCGTTTCTTCTCTTAATTTACTACTACACAAATTAACATAATCAAATGAGGTATGTGATGGTTAACTAGAAGTCGGAAATTAAAGTGAACCGACTGACGTTGCCATAACCACTTTAACACAGAGAGAGATCGAATTGTCAATTCAAATCCCATACCATAGTAGTAGAGATAGAAGTATTAGTAGTAATGGAGAAGATTAGGGCGTGAAGAAGTATAATTCAGTGATATAAATTTAGAAAAAGAAAAATAGAAATGATGAGGGATTCTGAATATTAGAATTTCAGGAAAAAACACAAAGAATGGATGTACCTGCGGCGCCTTAGCAAACAGTTTTAAGCCATGTTGTTCAAGGTTCGCAACTATCGACACTTACCACCAACATGACTCACAGGTTTTCAATGGTAGTCTTGTAACATTGTGTGATAGAGAACAGTGCGAAGACGTAATTGATCTAGAAAAAAACCGTGATGTATTTGCCCTATACCATTTCAAACAATTTGGTCATACATATTATACTTGTCAAGGCATTTATTCTTTATTAACATGAATCGATTGACTATTATTTGAAATGAAACTCCTCAACAATCCCTAACAGCTCTGTACTAGAAAAAAACCCCTAATAAATAAATAAATGAGGTAATATTGTAAAAATGGCATTTCAATATCAAATCACTTACCAAAGAACATTATGATAATGTACTACAAACAGTTCACATAATGACATATTGGATGATTGTAAAAGGCGTGAATTATTGTTATTGTTATTATTAATACAACAACGATTCACAGGTAAACTAAACGTATGCACATTAAACCATTTTTGACCAAATCTCATACGATATATAGGACAATCGAATAAATGACGATTGCAAGAGTTTTTTTCTGCAGAAATTAAGTTATTATTATTAGAATTTGTTTGTTGATCATGATTACTTATCGTACTATCGTCATTTTGGATTGATAGGAGATTTTGTTCAAGTAAAGCATTTCGGGCATTGAACCAACGTGATGCTTCATGAAATACTTAAAAAAATAAAAATAAAAATAAAATAAATGAAACAATTCAAAAATTATCGGTTACAAATCAATTCAATTAACACCATGATTCTATTGCATCAAGCCAATGGTTGACTGAACTCAGTCAGTAAGCTAAGCGGACAGAAAGCGATAACGTTTGAAACGAACGGGTTCGAGTCCTTATTAGTGTTGAGAACGCTAGATCCCCCCAGAAATCACTTGGAAAAAAAATGTACTAATTTTGCAATATATATGTTTTAAAAGGAGATAAAAGAGCTGGTGGGAAGATGTTGTTGATAAGGTGAGTTGAATTCGTTTACAAATTTTATTATTATTAAAACCAAGCTTCATAATTACAGTCATAGTAATCTGCTTGAGCTCGGGGTTTTGAACTGCTTTCCGCCCTTCGGCATAATAAATCTGAATTAATGAAGATGGACTGAAATCTAAGCTACCCATCCGCACTGTCGTATATCAATATCTTTGGCTAGTTGGAGTAGACACTGATCTTCATCATTAGCAAACGGATATCAGAATCAATTATTGATCGACAGTGATCAATGTCATGTTAAATTCTTATATATATATTGGTTGTTTAGATCTTTGTACAGAAATGTTTAGAACTGCACCTACCTGGTCAGTCTCATAGTGAAAATCAACTATGGGCTACAGGTACGGACGTCCAGCTGACGAATAATCCAAAACAAAACCGAATTATCGGAGACCTTAGATCATCAGAACTCACTTGGATAAAAAAAAGGTACTAATTTTGTCATTTTATTTGGAAATTTTTGAATTTGATGTTTTCACGCCAAGAGACGCTCATTTGAAGCTTCAGCTTGCACTTTCCACTCAGAAATTCTTGACTGTCATTGATTGATGGATTATTTTAGTAGGCTCTCACTAAGGGCGCTTTATCATTGTATAAATAAGCTTGAGTTGTGTGCTTACCGACCTCATACTTTCTGAGTTCCTATGAAATACATTCTCTCTACGTCTTATCCAACAAGACTTCTTCCTTTAGTCAGGTGGGGCCTCGGGGACAATCGGATTAGAATAGCCTATCGTGTCGCTGAATCATCATTGATCTTCGTTCCGTTTAATGAGTAAAAGTGAGCTTGTAATAACTGTAAGCATATCAAGCATGGTAGTCAACATTAACTCTGAGATGATGCAGGTACACATCCCCGGCTGACGAGTCCTCCAAAACGCACATTCTAGACTCCACAGCTAGCCCATATTCAGTCAGTCAGATGCAACGTAGAACTTCGTACATAAGTACATCAGTTCATGTCGCCATACCACATCAGCACAGAGATATAATTGTCAATTCAAATCCAATAGTAGAAGAGGTAGTAAAGGTATTAGGAGTAATCGAAAAGGTTAGGATTAGAAGATATTATTCAAGAAGTATGATTCAATGAAAAAAGTATAGAAAGTCAAAACTACAGGTGTTGAAGAATCCAGAAGATTAGCATTTGAGAGAACACAAAGAATAAATGCACCGGCGCCATTGTGAACGATTTTGAGCCATGTCATTCAAGGTCTCTAACCATCGATTATTATCATCTCGCGGACCCCAACCAGGTAGTCGACAATTACCGACATGGCTAAGTCCACTCGTCCATATTCATCCCCTACTGTATTGATGGATAGCGTAAAAATAATAATAATCATGATAATTTACCAAAAGAAATGATGAATACACTTGGAAGGAATTATTCTCGATAACATAAGCATTGGTTTTTTTTTTTTTTCTTATACAGGAATTAACTTTTTGATTATTTTTTAAGGAGAAAAAAACAAACAATTTTTTAACTACACATGAAAAAATCTACATATATTTACAATTAAAATGAGATGAATTGTATTGAAATTTGAATATTTGTTATTTTTTGTGTTTTTTGACAACCATGCAATGATCATCACTTGAAGATAATGACGGTCGGTGGTTAGAAAATGTGCATTAGTTTTTTTTTTTATTTCAACTTAAATAATAAATCGCCAGAATTAAATTTTTGCTCAATCTACTTAGAGTATCGGTGGTAGCCAGCCATTTTTTTTTCAATCACCAAAATGTGTCACCTGAAAAAAAATTAGCTGGGACAAATTTTCTATCTATCATAATGGATAATTATAACAATGATAATCAATAACTGGTAGGAAAAAAGAGGAAAAAACAACCAAATGATATTTTACTTTTCGAAGTATGCTCCTTCCAAATTGTTAAATCATCATCTTGTATGCTACTACTCCAACTGTCACCAATTTTTAACTCAGCAAAAACATCTTCATCATCGTCGCCGTCAGTAGTTTTTAAGCAAAGATTGTGCTGTCGATTTGATAGGTTTCTACAAATAAAATAAATTAATGAGAAAATTTTTTTGAATCATTTTTAAATGATTTTTTAGCCTATTAAAAATTATTTATTCAGTCAGTCAGTCAGTCAGATACAATGTAGAACTTCGTACGTAAGTAGATCAATCAGTTCATGTTGCCATACCTACCACATTAACACAGAGATGTAATTGTCAATTCATATCCAATAGTAGTAGAGGTAGTAAAGGTATTAGAAGTAGCTGCTACCTTGACGTGGTGGTCGGGCTTGACTATCGTGATGACCCAACCGAGCTATATTGGCTGGAAAATATGTTCCTGTAGGTTCTACCATGTCAGGCAGGTCGATTGGAGAACGATGAGACTAAAAGCAGCTACCCAAGGTCTGAGGGCGAAGTCGTACTGCTGACTGACTGTAGAGGGGTGTGACAGCAGTAAGGTGTTTCCCTCGGACAACCAGCATCTGCACCAATGCAGACTTCTCACAAGGAAGGAAGGGTTAGAAATGGTCGACCCTAAAAATGTCACACCTACCGTCGGTAAGGGTGCCCACTAAGGGCTTTCAAGAGCGGAGCTAATACTCAAGAAACCTTTCATCAAAAGGCCGTGCGAGACTGGCCTCAAGCAGTTGTCCCTTGGACTCTGCGGTCACGCTTCCAGGTCCCTAAGACTAACACTAATCTACCTTCCTTTTCAGGTCCCTCAAGAAACAACCTTCCACAGTGTGGGCAGCCGGGAAGTGACAACCGCCCTCATACCCGTAACAGCACACGAGACCAAATTAGTCGAAATCAAATCCTTCCAAAAATTATTTATTACACTATGAACAAAAGTATAAGATGTTTAGACAGATGCAAACAACTTTTTATGTTGATAAGTTAGTTGCTGCTGCTAAATGAATGAATGCAAGATCTGATTGCTTATCTGTTTCTAATAACCTTTGACTAAATCTACACCGAAACTTGAACATCAGAGGAAAAAAACACGAAGAACGCGAAAAAGAACACCTCTAATTTAAGGTTTGGCAGTTATTTGTAGATTGATACATGACCTTCGGCTTCTGGAAGTTTCGTGAATCATACTAAACGTAGTAGTGATATGGCTAAATAACCAATCTTAATCGGGGTACATGATTCTTCATTCAGGGAAGTTTCTGTTTAATGCTAATTGAATGAAACGTTTCTTGAAGTTTCTGGGCCTCTATAGATTTTTCGAAGGGATATATTTCAAGGCTACCTAAACACACATACATAACTAACATTGTACGAGGTGACATGAAACAACTCGAATGACCAAATCAACAATCACAAACACTAGGGAAAGGATCAAAGACTAGAAAGAAAGAAATACACATGATGAGGAATTCAGAAGATTTGAGTTGCAACGAAGAACTTCGTACGTATGTACATCAGTTCATGTTGCCATACCACATCAGCACAGAGACGTAAATGTCAAATCTAATCCCATAGTGATAAAGATAGTAGAGGTATTAATGGTAATGAAGAAGACCAGGGTTCGAAGATATTATTCAAGAAGTATAATTCAGTGAGATAAAATTATAAAGAGAAAGGTAGGGGTGCTGACGAATCCAGAAGGTTAGGATTTGAGAGAGCACAACGAATGGATGAACTTGTGCCATTGCAAACGATTTTGAGCCATGTCGTTCAAGGTCTCTAACCATCGGTGACTTTCGTCTCGCGGACCCCAATCGAGTAGCCTACATCTACCAATATGATTCAGTTCACTTGTCAGTGACTTCATGGATTTCTGCCATGTTTTGGTCTGGCCGCCTCTAGCATTCTTCCAACCTACTCCTACACCACAAAACATAGCTCGTCGAGGCAGTCGGTGGTTAGGCATTCGTTACACATGTTCCAACCACCTCAACTGATGAAGTTTCACTACTTCATGAACTGATCTGCCATCCCTACCTAGTACTCGTTTCCTAACGACACTACTGCTTACTCCGTCGTCCAAGGATAAATGAGTAATGCTTTGAAGACATCTATAATCAAATACTAATAACCTAAGAATATCTACTACTCTGACTGGCTATATTTCGCATCCATAGAATAGAACGGAGGGAACTACTGCGCGGTAGACTCGACCTTTGGTAGGTCGACAGATATCTCACCTAAGCCATAAACGACGTAAAAATTGGCCAAAGCCAATCGAACCTCCTTGAATCCGTGCTAAGATTTCGTCAGTCACCAAGCCATCAACGCTGATGAGACTCCCAAGGTAAGTAATACATACAGATACCAAGATATAATGATTTTCGCTTTACCCCCTCCCCTAGCCTATACTCTTCACATATCACACATGGACAAATGAAAAACTAGTTACCGAACTGTATCAAACAATGTTTGAATCAGTTAACTTATTTTCTATGAGCATGTCTATCTGAAGTGACCACTTACCTAACTATGAACTGTGAGAATTTCATTAACACTGTTGTTACAAAAGAAATGTTTTGAAATAATAATAATAATAAATAAATAAACATAATACACACAACAACAATAAATACACTTACTTTTCATAATATAATATTTGTCCATTTTGATCAACCACAGTTATAATAACAACATTTATCAAGTGTAGTTGATGATCATCATTCCAAATCTCTTGTCCTTCAGTGTTCTTTGGTAGAATAACATCGGTTGGCCAATTCACAATAAAACTTCCATCAGATTTTGTCAATAATTTAGGGAAGTCAAATAATACTAGCGATTCATTCGTATCACTGTGATGACTACTGTTTTGATCAATTACATTGTTATTTTCAATTGAATTATTATTATTATTGTTATTATTAGGAGGCGAATTGCTGACTACTACTGATGAATTACGCAAACAATGAGGGGAATTTGAATGATGATGATGATGAAATGGAGAAGGCTATGCAGTGAAAAAAACAAACAAACATGAGATTATTGAAAAGGAAAATCAGCACAAATGCTCAACAATGATAATAATGATAATAATAAGATTTGAAATTTTCGTTTCCTAAAAAAAAGTTCACATGCGAGACTAACCGTCTTCGGTTCGATTCCCGTAGACGAGGTCATGGACGTACACTGTTGATAAGTTTATTCAATACTAGGACGAAACGACCTTCCAAGATTTCAATGATGCTCTCAATCAATCAACAGCAACGTAGAACTTTGTCCGTACACACATCAGATCAAGTTGCCATACCACATTAGCACAGAGATGTAAATGTCAATTCAAATCCCGTGGTAGTAGAGGTAGTGAAATTATTAGCACTAATCGGAGAGATTAGGGTTCGAAGATATTATTTTAGAAGTATAATTCAGTGAGACAGATTTGAGAAGAGAAAAATGAAGGTGATGGAGAATTCAGAAGGTTAGAATTTAATAGAACACAAAGAATGAATGCACCTGAGCCATTGCAGATGATCTTGGGACATGTCACTCAGAGTCTCTAACCATCGATTACTGTCATCTTGTGGGCCCCAACCAGGTAATCGACACCTACCAACATGGCTTAGTCCACTCTTCAGTGACATCATGGATTTGTGCTATGTTTTTGGCCGCCCCTAGCTTTCTCCCAACCCATAGACGGGGTCGTGGATGTGCACTGTTGATAAGTCGAATTACTAGGACGAAAGGACCTTGCCTTCTAGTGCTTCTTCCAATGATGGTTTCACATTGATCAGTTCATGATTCCAATGAATTTTTAAATGAGTGTTCACATTATGTAGATAACAGATGCAATTACGACCCATGAACTCATTTCACAAATACTATTGGAAATTATGCATGAGAATTGAGTCTTGTGACTGTTATGGTAACAATTTCGCATGAAACATTATCCCTACTAGAGAAGGTATACATTAGTTAGCAAAAATCCATACTAATAAATAAGTACTAACAAGTTATAAAAACAAATATCCACAAATCCTTGTATCTTATGATCAACTAGCATAAGAAATGTAGTTAACCACTTCTGTGTTTCCCGACCGTAGCTGCTACCTTGACTTGGTGGTCGGGCTTGCCTATCGTGATGACCCAACTGAGCTATATTGGCTAGAACATATGTTCCTGAAGGTTCTAACACTTTTGTTTATCAATAACTACAGATTATAAGGTGTATCTAAATGAGAAAGAACTTACCATACAACCCTCTCTGCCTGAGTATGAAATAACAAGAGTGGACTGAGGTGAATTCGTAGGTACATAATCCTTTTGGGGAATTTCATGATTAACTGCTGAATCTTGAAAAGAATCGAAAGTATCAAATATAAAATGATCATATTAATAATAAATGAGAATAAAACCCTAAGCTGAGTTTACAGTATACAATGCTTACATTTACTTACATAGATTGGAGTGCATAAACGAGTCCAACTAAAAGTCATCAACTTCACACATTGATGTCATGTTTTGTGTTTTTTTCTCTCGTTCAAACTTCTGATTTAATTTAGGTTAATATTCACCAACTTAGTACTTTGAGACTGGTGGTGTAGTGGAGTTCTAAATAGTATCCAAGTGTCGCCCAGAAATTACTACCGAAGAGAAGAGTGTTAGATCCTAATGTATGGAGTAAGCCAAGTGTTTTGAAGAACAGAAGACAATCAATAATTGGCTTGTTTCGCAAATAGAAGCTAGTAAACTTTCATCCTTAAATATACTACTGTTTCATATGATCTTGACGTCCTTGTTTATTATTACAGTGGTTAGTACACAATCTTATGAGATGTTCAAAACACTAGTGTTAGCTAAGTTACCACTTAACTTACTTTCTACACTTAATACTCTACGCCCTACTTTTTGCATTATTTATCTCATGGTCCAAGTATCTGAAAGCATTGCTCTAAAGACGCCTGTGATTAAATACACTAAAGCATGTTTTTGAACCCTACAGTTCACAGTTATAGACAGTGCATCCAACTTATGGTAAACAGATAATTATCTTGTTTACTGAGAAGCTTAAGAAAGTACTACGTATGTGTGTGGAAATTCATTAGCCGCTGTCACCGACCCATCAGACCTAGTGAGACTTCCAAGACAATTGGGTCAAACTGTTCAACTACTTCCCTATTTCAGATCACATTCAGTAATGACATAGATTAGTTCTGAAAGAAAATGTTGTACTTAATTGTGTGACAGAACAAAACACAGACTCGATATTATTAGAATTTTTGGTCGAGATCAAAGTAAAACGACTATAACAACTTCTACATCTTCCATACTGAAAATAAAGACAGTAACAGGAGATACTTTCCTGTCTCAGAAAATACCAAACACTGACAAGACTTTTGGGGTATACAACTAAATCATCCAAGAACATATAATATAACACAGTATAATTAAAACCGTAAAAAACTCATTTGACAAAGTGAATTTACGGACTGTAGTGGGATCGGCAAAAAGGTGGAAATTCAAAATATATTGTAGAAATTAACTATTATCCCTCAGATATTCCCAACCAATTTAGCCAATAAACCTGATGCAATGATGCCTAAAGATCATATATCATAATGAGGTGATTTAACTAAGATGCGTATGCCTAAGCACCGATTGCCTCGACGAGCTTTGTTTTGTAATGTAGGAATAGGTTGGAAGAAAGTTAGGGGCGGCCAAACCAAAACATGGCACAAATCCATGAAAACATTGACGAGTGGACTGAGTCATGTTGGTAGTTGTCAACTACCTGGTTGGGGTCAGCGAGATGATAATAATCGATGGTTAGATACCCTGAATGATATGGCTCAAAACCGTTTGCGATAGCGCCGGTGTTCTCTCAAATCCTAATCTTCTAGATCCTTCAACCCCCCTAGTTTTGACTTTCTAAACTTTTCTCACTGAATCATACTTCTTGAATAGTATATTCTAATCCTAACCTCTCCGATTACTTCTAATACCTTTACTACCTCTTCTACCATTGGATTTGAATTGACAATTATATCTCTGTGCTGATGTGGTATGGCAACATGAAGTTCTACGTTGGATCTGACTGACTGACTAATTTAACTACGAATCAGTGATCTACAAACTGAATTCATGCAATCACTTATGAAATCTTATCATGTTTATTTTATGTTAGTATTTGGGTAATGTAAACATGTTATTGTATTACAAAAGGAATGAATGCAACAATAATAAGCAATAGGCAAATTTTAAATAATCCTGCCTTTGATGCAGTATATTTGTCTGACTCGTTAGGATAGAGAATGCATTGAATTTCTCTCCCAATTCAGTTCGGAAGTTTTAAATAATTAATCAGAAAGACAGAATTATTATTGTTTTTGAAACTCTACTATATCAGTCAGTCAGTTGTGACGTAAAACTTTGTACGTGTATTATACATGAGTTTAAATTGCCGTACCCTATTAGCATAAAGATATGAAATTGTCAAGGCCGAATTCCAGATTCGTAGGGATAATGATAGTATCAGTAGTAATCAGATTAGGAATCGAAGATACAAGAAAAAAAAATATGAAGAATTCAAAATCTTAGAGTTTGGAAGAAGGACAAAGAACAGATCCACTTGCATTAAGTGCAAACAATTTTGAGCCATGTCATTCAAAGTCTGTAACCATCGGTTACTATTGTGTCTCAAGGACCCCCTAATCACAACTAGTCCTTCATACATTATTAACATGGTGGCTCAGTCTAATTAATCGTCAATGACTTCATGGACTCGATGTTATTATTATTTATTGAGGATAAAGAAAAACAACCGACAAACCTTTTAAATCAGGCGAAATATATTCTTCATTGCACGTATTGATAGGTGGTGGTGGTGGTGATAAAGACAACTGATAGATTGGGCTAATTTTACCATATGGAGATAGGTTATCAGAGTTTACAGGAGATAATTGATTTTTTATGGAAACACTGAAATCTTCTCTATGTGCAAAACAACCAGGTACAGAAGATGGTCTAGTACAATGCGATTGAGTAGCAGTAATAGCAGCCATTTTTGCAGGGTTAGAGTGATATAAATTTGTTGCGACAGATTGGAATGCATTCACGTTTCGACTGTGTTGAATTTCATTAGGAGTGATCATAATTATCGTATTAAAAAGCGCAACACAATCCACTCTGTCTTCTTTAACATCAAAGTTAATGAACAACGAATTATGTACATGTCTAAATAGAAAAAAGAAAAAAATACAAAAGAAAACAGCTGAAAGAAAACTTACAAATTATTAAACAAGGAGATTTTGTCTATCAAACTAACGTATGTTCGATGAGCCTTTTCTGCGAACTAGATGTAATGTGTACAAACTTCCACGGTGTGGGCAGCCGGGAAGTGACATCAGCCCTCATACCAGTAACAGCGAACTGACTGACTGACTTTTATTTAGCCTTTTCCTATAGAGCTGATTTACTGTGATAACTGGAATTTTTATAGAGAATAAAACCGTCTAAACATTTTGTTCAATCAGTAAAAAAAGTATAGACTAATTTAATGCATACTTCCCATGGTAGTCAAAGTAACAATCACTAGCTAATTTCTACATGAATCTTTAATTAATCAATGTTAAAGTTGTTGTTGATTATTTTTTTCTTCGCCGATTATATAAACGGACAGGTTTCGTCGCAATGTCAATCACTGAAAGGTGTATCAGAGCTTAAACAGGTTCTCTAGTCGAATGTTACCAGATGAGTCAGAACATTTGGCGCATTTTCATCGGAACTGATAACACTAAGTGGTGTTTAATCGGGTTATCCGCTTTCCTTATTTTTAATTTACTTTCTAGTAAAGATTCTCCTAAAATTACTGCTCTCATTGTCTAATTTTTCATGAACCGATCTACCAGGAGTCAGTCGGCTACAATGTAGGACTTCGTATGTACCTACATCAGTTCAAGTTGTCATACCACATTAGCACGGAGATGTAACTGTCAATTCAAATCTTATAGTTGTAGGAGTAATAGAAGTATTAGCGGTAATGGAGAAGATTAGGGTTCGAAGATATTGTTCAAGATGTATGATTCAGTAAGATAAATTAAGAACGAGAAAGGTAGAGGTGATGAGGAATTCAGAAGATTAGAATTTGAGCGAACACAAAGAGTTGATGCACCTGCGCCACCGCATTTGACATCTAACTTTAGTGAACCAGTCGGTTGTCAATCAACCTAAAAACTCTGTACACGTATATCGGTCAAAGTTCACATACTACATTAAAAAGCGTAAGAAATTATGATGAAAAGCACGACTGAAGTGATATCAATGGCAATAAAATTGATTGGACATTAGGATCATTTGAGAATAAAATAGAATAGAATAGGTTCACAGAAAAGGATTTGAAGCAATTTTAAAATTCAGGATCTAAGAGGATGTATATAAAAGATGCATCTGCGCCATCTATATAGAACTTGAGCTAAGCACTGGTCTTTTTGACTACACGTCACAATAACTGCGAGGACCCAACCCAGGAGGTTTGCACTTAAAAAACAATGTTTATATTCTGTACAAAAAACCACACTTCTTATTCGTATATTGGCTGTATGACCTCATTTTGTAATATTCGTTTATGCTATCATTCCATCCGGTTTATAGTTTATTTATTCTCCTCGAACCCTAATCTCTCCGATTACTGCTAATACTTCTACTACTTTGAGATTTGAATGGACAATTACATCTCTGTGCTAATATGGTATGGCAACCTGAACTGATGTACGTACGCACGAAGTTCTATGTTGTTACTAACTGACTAACTGACTTGCTTACTTATTTATTTATTGATGGTAACACTCAAAAAGTAGAAAAAAGGAGCACCTAAATACTTATTTGCTACACAAACTATTGAATTTGTGAGTGGGCTAGGTTGCTTCCTGGTTGCCTAAACCGGAAAAGGTGAGTTTTCCAAAGGGCTACTCCCCGGACTTTCGACTAAGATGATAAGTTTACAGGGCAGAGAAGTGACGCTAGATTCAGTTCCACAGTAGCCTGTGACCAACAATAGGTTCATAAGCCAACTATTCAACCAACATCCTAAAGCCCAGGGTTTGAAGTCAGGGTTTTTCGAATCCCTTAGGTGAATCCGCCATACCTATCAACCCGGTTTATACACCAGATATTCACTTTTCGTGCCCCTTAATTTTAAAAACATCAGCCATTATTTGAGAGAGTGGTGAGTAGTACAGTGACTATGCACACGTGGCGATATGAGGGCTTTTCGAGACAGAGAGTAGACTCCCCACTGTCGGCTGTACTAGTGGACTGAGTCATGTTGGTAGATGTAGACTACCTGGTTCGGGCCCGCGAGACGAAAGTCACCATTGGTTAGAGACCTTGAACGACATGACTCAAAATCGTTTGCAATGGCGCAAGTGCATCCATTCGTTGTGCTCTCAAATCCTAATCTTCTGGATTCGTCAGCACCCCTACCTTTGTCTTACTAACCTTATCTCACTGAATTATACTTCTTGAATAATATCTTCGAACCCTGGTCTTCTTCATTACCATTAATACCTCTTCTATTTCTATCACTATGGGATTTGATTTGACATTTGCGTCTGTGCTAATATGGTATGGCGACATGAACTTATGTACATACGTACGAAGATCTACGTTGCAACTGACTGACTGACTGTACCAGAGCAGATTTATTGCAGCCTGGACAGATGCAACCTTAAATATACCCTTTCAAGGAACGGCACGGATTCTTAAAGGGTGTTGCATACTAAAAGATTTATTGAGATAGAAATTTTTGTTTTAACAAAACCTATTTGCTAAAAAATGTTCAGTAATTCTCCATTGTTTTTGTCAATAAAGATAACACACATGCAAAAGGGGCGGAACAGACCAATTCTCTTGACAAGATATAACTTATGGCTGGACTGCAGTGTAACATGCTGAAGTCCCAACGCCGAAACAAACAAGAACAGTCCAAAGGTTTGAGAGGCTTTCCGCACTGCCAACTGTCGCAAGGTGTAGATATGGTTTAGATAAATGACCAGACTATAAGTCGACCCATAACGTACAACTCACCAGTTTATTTACACTGATAATTTACTAAACTGATTGGAAACTCACTGAATTTTTGCACCACACTTAACACTTACGGAGGAAGTTACAAAAAAACGTTTTATGTAACTGACACGATTGGTATCAGTGAATCGAGAGACACTACATCTAAGAAGGCCTGTTTTGCCTACTTCTAGGCACTAACGTGACTAGAACCGCGACGTGATACCACAAATGAGGATAGGCATGTAACGATAATAAAAATTCATTTTATCTCTAGCTTCGTCTGCGTAAATGACGCTAAGTTCATGATCAAATCGGTAATAAAACTATGAAACACATCGAGCTCTAATATTTTAAAGAAAATTTGAAGCTTATATACAAAACACTATATGGGATATAAAAATACCTAAATATAATATACAAACGGTAGTTCACATGTTGCATTAACGTACCTCCTATTACATTTATAGATTTTGTAGTGAGCAGAATAGGTTTCAAAATAAATCCGGTACATCCATCACTCCGCCGTTTGTAAATTTTAACGCTTTAAAGTCAAATGATACACGAAATTCCACAAAAAATACTAATGGCTCTGTCTTTTGAAATAGCGAGTTAGTAGTTCAGACGCTCACTAAAACAAATAGCAAGTCACACCAAGAATTTCGCACGTTCTCCATCATATTCACCAGTACGTCAGTTTTTATAAATATGAGCACGTATTTTGTACTTATAATATATCATATTCGCAGTTTTAGTTTCTGTCTTGAAAAATGAAATCTGGATATCTGTTCCTCCTTGAAACCCAATCTTCAAGTTTTGTTTGACAGAATCAGAGATCTTTCAGAGAGTACATGGTTGATAGAAGTTCTATACTTGTTATTTAGAGGAGATTGGTTTCGCGCCAAGTCGTGAAAGGGTTTGTTAGTAGTAGTTGACTGATTCCTTTCGGGTAGCTGTGTTCTCTAAAGCTACCAAGGTCTGTATAAACACAATATGACTTCAAATATATTTATTTGAGGTAACTTTGAACCGTTTTAAATTCAGATGATATTAACTTAAGTAGAATCTTTATGACTCTATAATAAGTCGTTTCACATCTAGTCTCACCCATACGGTCAGTTAGGAAGTAACCGTATTGTTTCTTTATGCGATTTTAAGTAAAGATTGTGGGGCTAATATATCCGTTTCTCTGTCAAATGGGCAAGGATTTTCTAAAACAAGACTGACAGTCTATTCGGATTCCTCAGGGTGCTGACTCCAAGTGCTACTGCGCGATCACTGTTTGTAACTACCTTGTTATATACTTCAGTCTCAAGATACCTAGACCAGTAAAAGTAGCTGTACATTATTCCAACCGGAGCGAACAGAGAGTTCAAAATATTTATGAATACCTCATAGCTAGGTAACCGTTGTTTTTACTTCTCACCCAATAACAGAGTAAAATTGGTTAAGTTATTTGGCAGGTTACATCAGACAGTTTATCATCATTTAGTTAGTAATCCAATTTAATTTCAAAACCACCATTGCAAAGTCTCTGTAATATCAGACTCAGACCCCTTTCAAAAAACACAATTATTGCCATTACCATACCCACTATTATTTCAAAACCAGCTTATCTAGATAATGAAACACCATGTATGTCTCTAGGCCGTCCATCTGGCAAAATAATTACAGAATTGACAAGTGAGGATGGGAATTCTGTACACTTAAGCAGTAAGGCCAAGTGAGTACAACTGATTGTTCAACCCAACACATCTAATGCTTTAGCCTAATACTGATAATTCACAATGTGTATTCTAATGTGTTCGCCAATCAAAATTTTCAGTGTATGTATGCGAAAAGATCCTACATTTTTACCTTTCTTTTCGATAGTTACATTTTTTTCTTTAAATAAAGATGAAAAAAGAAGCTAAAAAGAAATCTGCTCAAGGAGTTTTTTATTCTTCCTTCCTTAGACCCTTTATTATTTAAGTGTCTGTAAAATCCGTTCATGTTACTAAGTATATAAGATGAGGTTTAAGTACAATAAAACACCCAGTGTAGAATTATTTCGCCGGTGGCTGTCCTAATCGCGTCCAATAGAAACACTCCTGTACGTTACTCCTAGATCCAGGTCCCAGCCAAATCAAAAGGTCAAAATTTCTAGGAGAAAACGTCTCTATATTGTTATAAAATGGAAATACAGAGGCTTACGGTGTTTTTGTTTCTTCCAGGACTAAATTACTCCGTAGAGTATCTATTACAATAGCTAGTAAGTGACACTAAGTCCAGCAGCCACCGCGTCTATCCAAAAATGTGGCGGTAGCCATATTATATCAAATTTAAACAATATATGTACAGTTCAAAGGCAAACACAAAAACTTCAATATAAGTACAAAATATGGAAAGAATAACACATACAATGGTAAAATCTCAAATTGGAATCAAATAAAATACCAAAAATGTCAAGAGAAAAAGTCCATCAGGTCATAGCAAAATATGTAAACATGGAGGGATTTTCCCAAAAACAAAACATTCAAAAAGAATTCTACACCGGCCCGCAAAATCCCTCCATGCAAAAACAGCAGGCGTTAATGACACCTTATTTAGGGTTCCCATGTTATCCCCTAATCCACACCGGAATAACGTGTAGGACTTACAGCAGTACGCCTACCCGCCATCCAACATGGATATGACCTATCGTGTTAACTAGGTTCCTATACTTTCCCATCAGGCCCTTGATTCCCCTATCTATCGTGGAATGACCTAACGGTAGTATAAACCTTACCCAATTAACCCATACGAACATGAACAACACATCGTAAAACTGGTCATATCCTATCCAAGGACTACATTCTCTATCGTGGGGACGAGTCGCCAATCCACCACCACTTGCTCTGATCAGCAGATACCATGAAGTCCGTGATGCCAACTTATCAACAGAAGTTTTTGACCCATAAATAATATGCAAGGGTGGGATCTCCAATTTTGACATTTCATCGTCTCCAGAAGACCTTAAGTAGCATGACGTAGGATCAATATTTATCCTTCCATCTCCTGCTGCAGAGGAGGTTTGAACAGTATTCATCATCGTCGGTAACTCATTTGTCACATCAGTGACATCCGGTTTATTATCAACGTCTAATTGATTCCGTTCTGCATTAGCATCCGTTTCAGCGGCACAAGACATATGCTCAACAATAGCATCGTCATCACACAGCACTGTAGACTGGCTGTTACCATCAAACACTTTCTTCTCATCATCACTCGACTGACAGTCAACCGTAATAGGAACAGTTACAGTTGCACAACCTTGTGCATCTTCAATCAACTTAACCTTCGTGACGAGGTCCAATGGCGTCGAAACACTAGGAGGCTCATTCGATGAAGTTGATAAACTAGTCCCTATAAGTGGACTTCTGACACTTTCTATATCCTTATTATCACTGTCACTACTAAGGTTCTGATGGCTACTATTTCCATAGCTAGTCGTAGCATCCGAAAGAGCATGAGGTTCAGGCTTCTTAGTAATAGTAGCATCATGTCTCCTAGGCTTCTTAGCCGTTACTGTTCCACCATCACTTATCCTAGAAGCTACTCTAGGTCCAGTCATATAATTTACCCTAACTGAAGGGTTCCGAAAATAAGCTTTATTCCGTTCAGTCAATCCTGCCTGGGCTTTATTCGCATTTGCTGAACTCACTAACCTCTGATTACTCGAATCCAAATTACCGTTCCAGGCTTTTCGAGCAGCTAAGAGGCTTTTATCATCACACACTCCGGATCCATCTTGATGCCTACCTTTTTCACCTTTTTCTTTCTTTTCTACACTTAGAAAGGCCATCTTATCTGTTACATCAACCGGCTTCTTACTAGGACACGCATCAAGAGGCTTTACATCGTTACGGTCATATACTCGTCCTTCATCAGCGTATGCTTTCGTGATATAATTGACAAATCTCTTATCTTCCGAGCGTGCTTTAGGTAGAAACGAAGAATCCGAATGTCTCACACGCAGACCACTAGTAGCTTCCGTATTATTTCCTGTTTTAGCCTGATAAGCTAATCTTCCAAACCTACTACTAGCTATCTTAGCACGAGACATAATAAATTCCGTCAATTCGTTAAAATTGGGCTCTCTCTCCTCTTCGTCCCACTTGAATACTAGCTCTGCCCACTGGGCTTGCATTCGACGAGGTAAGAGCCTTACTATTCGTTCTAAAGTAGCCATAGAGTTAAGTTCAGCTGTACAATTTAACTGTTCTAAAGTTAAAGAAGCATTCTGCATTTTAATGGCCAAGTTCGTCAATGATTCAGGATCATTAAATTCTACATTCCCAGTTCTAAATAAGTCCTCTAAGGTTTCTCGCGCTATTACATGCGTCTGTCCAAAGAGCTGTTTTAGAATGGCCTTAGCTCTCTTATATCCTGATTGTGGATCCATAATAATACAACCTTCAATCGCATTTTTTGCTTTTCCCTTACAATAATGAATTAAATACAATAAACGCACTTGATCATCCTTGATTCGAGGTTCTATAAACGTCTCTATCTGTCGTATGAACTTAAAATAGTCGCGAGACCTTCCATCAAAATATGAAAGCTCAACCTTAGGTAATTCTAAACCCTCTATCGATGACTTACAATAATAAATATCAGACATAACATGTGGGTTACCCATAAAAAAGTTATCATCAACGACTTGCCTAGAGCCCTGTGATCCGTCGAGCTCTTCCACCCTCCTCACGTGTGATTTTTTTCGGTTTGACATCATAAATAAAGTTCAATAAAGACGGTAACGATACAAAATAGAATAAATCCAAAATTCAGTTCAAAATTAATGATAAGTAGTTCCAGCGTCTTCCTCCAAGGAAGTCTAGTATGATAAACGATTAAATTCCAAATGTTTCCTTGTAATTCTTAATAATCCAAATAGATCCAAATTATATGCGTCCCGACGGATATTTCCAAGTATAATTCACGCAAGAAGAGCAAAAACACCAGACTGTAGAATTATTTCGCCGGTGGCTGTCCTAATCGCGTCCAATAGAAACACTCCTGTACGTTACTCCTAGATCCAGGTCCCAGCCAAATCAAAAGGCCAAAATTTCTAGGAGAAAACGTCTCTATATTGTTATAAAATGGAAATACAGAGGCTTACGGTGTTTTTGTTTCTTCCAGGACTAAATTACTCCGTAGAGTATCTATTACAATAGCTAGTAAGTGACACTAAGTCCAGCAGCCACCGCGTCTATCCAAAAATGTGGCGGTAGCCATATTATATCAAATTTAAACAATATATGTACAGTTCAAAGGCAAACACAAAAACTTCAATATAAGTACAAAATATGGAAAGAATAACACATACAATGGTAAAATCTCAAATTGGAATCAAATAAAATACCAAAAATGTCAAGAGAAAAAGTCCATCAGGTCATAGCAAAATATGTAAACATGGAGGGATTTTCCCAAAAACAAAACATTCAAAAAGAATTCTACACCCAGCGCTACCATCTAAGTTGACAGAACTCGGGA